GGCGTCCAATAGCGGCCGCTTTACGAAGCCAGTGCACCAGTTACGATATGAACAGCAAGGGTTTGGTCGGTTCCGGCTTTGGGATGTTGGAAGATGCTAGGACACTGGATTAAGGGCATCGCACGCCCCACGACCACGAGGACGACACGAGGACCCCTCGATGTTGTCGATCATCGTCAGTTCATTTGGGCTGATGAGCTTCCCGCCCTGGTTGTCCAGTACGGGATGGACTCCCTGCTAGATCATCGCACCCCCCTGGTCCTCTACCGTCCTCTCTACAGCATCGTCATAGATGCTTGGGCACGGGCTTTCCTCCAAGTATGCGTTATTCCTGTGTCGGTTTGGTGGTGCCTCAATACAGGAGCTATCGGACGAGGTGCAATACTATGGCAATAAAGATGGATTTCCTACCCACATGCGCGAAAAGGGGTTCGCTATCGACAATCCCCACGTTTTCACAGTCCAATGTCCTTTGACAACAGGTCACTGATCCTAATCCAGCGCCGCTGTGGCCTTCAGAAAAGACCAATTCGGAAACGAGCTGAGTGAAAGTTGTATGGTGGGTGGCCTGCGGGAAATGAAAGTGAGACAGATGGGCTGATTGACCGTCTGTGCTCGGCCTCCCTGAAGGGAATACGGACATGGAACTGACCCCCCTCCCCCCAAAACACAGCTATCCTTCGACCGTTCTAGCGTCATCACCAAGTCATGAATCCCTTGACCGAAAGGTTTCCCTGATTCGGACGTCATGACGCCTAAGGAACGGCGCGGTCACCAAGTACCTGGTTCACGGCGTTCCTTGTTTCGACCAATGGCGGCCCAGGTGTTTCACGGCAGTTGCGTTTCCAGCAAGAGAGCCAAAGACAGACCTTCCCCTTGCGTTTCGGACGGACAGCTCTGAGAAGTGTCTATTCCAACATGGAAACACACCGATGTTGAATGCCCGCAATGCCTTAGACTTTGCTCAACGTCGGTGATTGTATGAGGTGCCCATCGCATCCTTTGTGATCATTCACACACCACGTAACTACAAGACGTAGGAACCGTCGGGTAAAACACACAGCAGCCCCCTCTTAAGATGATCTGCATTACAAGCTTCAGGTTCCGCTGGCCTGGAACTGATCGACAAGCGACTGCCCACACGAGGATAGAAACAAGGGGAAAACACGGGATCAATGCTACGTAGATATTTTGAGACTTGCCGAGACTATCCTGTCCTGGATCCCTTGCGCAGACACTGCAGACCGCAAACTTAGCCGAATACGGCAGGGCATTGTGATTGCGAGTTGTGCACGGAGAATAGGGGCATGATGCCCCCAGAGCTGTCCACCGACTTTGAAGTTAGACCACCACCCTGCGGGTGGCTTTCTTGGATGGATCAGCGTCAAGCTTGCGACGTCACAATTTCTGACGGTGTCCCCCAGTCCAGTCGGGTCCCTCCACGGGGAAGAACCCATGGTTTTCCCCGCGAAACTTCCCGTAATGTCCGGGGTCGGTCCCCACCACGCGGTCGGGACTCAATCCGGCGGTCAGAATCCCTTGGCCAGTTGAGTAGGATGTCTCAGCAGCAATACGGAATACCTGCCAGGCTACCTCCACCACCTCCCAGGGCCGTTTCATATCTTTGTTTGGGTCTAATAACGATCGCGAGTCTTTTCAAATTGCTCCCTTGCAAGCGTCGTGCCCTATCCCCTTCTAGACAGTCACTAGAAGTTTTCAGGTTGCCCGCCCGCGATTCGCCAGTCTGGAACGGCCTGATTAATAGCCCCGATCCGAAGAGGGAGCGAAAAGTGCATCTCCGCTCGACGTCCGGCACCTCCACTACCAAAGTTCACCCTCCTTCCGAGCGAGAGTTCAAGACACAACCGCCTAGTCCTGTTCGGTCTGTTGATCACCTGTGGATGGCGGTCACCCCAAACCTCGCACTATTACACATTGACGCACCAGAATGCAACGCCGTGCGACGACGCTCATCGGCAGATGGGCCGGTCACCTGACGAGCACCCTCTGCGTTCGCCTCTGGCACGACGGGTCTTGACTAACTACAATACTGGGCAGGGCTTCCTAGCCTAACGCATGATTCATCTTACTAAGGACCCCCGTTCTTGATCCTGCTGGTCTGGGGCCTCCACCAGGATGCGATAGCTTACCTAGTTCCAACGGGGGAGGCCGGCATGCAAATCCGATCCATGTGCTTGCAGTAGCGAGCGTTACGCCTGCAGGGTTGCAACTCATTGTCGATGCAATGCAACGAAGGGTGAACCTCCTCCACGTTGGGGCTCGAGCGTGCATGGGGGATCAAAGGCAAGGTGTTGCAATGTTCGTCAACTTCGACAGTACAACGGATGTGACCTGTCCCAGGTAAAGGATCATCGCTCTCGGAGCAAGGTCTAAGGCAGCCCCAGGGGCCCCGGCTGCTGCCGACAGACACTGTCGGATGGATGACGATCTCGGTTACGCAGGCAGGCTTTCCCTGTTGGCCTGAGCGACTTTTACGAAGTAGCCAAGTATGTTACGGTACTAGGCGTACTCTAGGTGCAGGCTGCAGAAACAAACCAAGGCAAGTAGGTACCTACTTGTACAAGACGTAGAAAAATGAAATTAAACCTGACTGGACAGAAGAGGTTTCAGAAGCGAAACGCCTTTCCTGTTTCAGGGAAGGTGAGGGCAATGTTCTCCATAGGGCGTTTAAGGTGAGGGGCCCAAAGGGGAAATGATCGGAACTCTCCGTCGACGACCCCTGGCCCTGGGCGACCTTGGTAGGCCGATGGAGTTTGGAATGTTTAAAGAAGATTCTGTCAACCAGGTAGGTACTCCGTCGGTGATCGCACGGTGGTGTGTACTAGTCCACACCCTGATGGACTTGGTCTTCTTCATCCTGCACGATGGCTTGCTGGTCGTGCATGCGGGGAAATGGATCATATCATCGCCGTAGTGACCCTGCGAAAATACCAGCTTCAAGAGGTTGGCAACTCGAATTTCCCTCAAGGTCCAGGCGGATAGCGCGCGTTGGATGTCTTGAGCTGACATCGCGAAGGGGGGACCTCGAGTCGCGGACGAGATCTCAGACCCTTGGAGTCCACTTCAACCGCCGTTGAGCGCTCTCTTCAAACCTGAGGGTCCAAAATCATCATATCATGCCCAATCATCTAGCATACCAGGCGTCGCTCTTGGTTTGAGACATTGCGGCACCAGAAAGATCCTCTCGGCTTCTAACCTAATAATGCGAGACCCGCCACGATGCCCCCCTTCTCATCCACGAACTCGTGGCGTGTTTGAAGTAACGAGAGGCTATGCCGCACACGTTCGTGCGTCGATGGTGGTGGGCCTGGTGCTGTTGATGCCTGAAACGGGGCACAGATCGATGGAGAACCGGAACCCCAATGTCCTCGGAGTTCTCCGCCATATCGTGAAGCAGGAGCTGAGGTTGGAGCCCTCGTTCGCACTAGACGAGATGACCAAACAAAGTGGCTAATAAGCCAGGCGAACAAGGTCCAGAAGCCGCCGTTCGACTGGTCTGTATGGGGAATCGTTTTGATAATGCATTGACGAGGTTGGTAGGAACCCAGGCCTGGCTCGACGCCACGCATGCCGGCGAAGAGGCATCTTCCCTGCAGCTCGGGTTCAGCTCCTGCCCAGCCCCATGCAAGAAGCACATGCCAGGAGATCGGGCTCTCGGCGTCGTGCCGACAAATGCTTGCCCGGGTTTCATGGGCTACTCTGTAACTTCGATTGCGGAATCGAAAACAATGACTTTCCTTCTCCCTTGAACCCTACCCGGATCCTTCTTTCACACAGGCATCTTCCCTGCAGCTCAATAAATCCCTCGAAAGTGGGCTTCCGCGCGCCCTCGGAAACAAGCTCCAGAACACCAGCTATATGCACTTGTAGCTGGTTTTGCGTTTTTTGCGACAATGGGCCCCCGATCCTTGGGCTGCGTCGAAGCAATCCCGATCTCGAGATGCAGGGGCAGGGCCCGAGCCGGGGAAAGAACGGGAAGAAACCCTGGCGGCAGCGGTGATCCATGCGTCGTTCTGCGAGCGGCGATGTAGGTACTAACTATCCTAATGATATCCCGGACCTGGTGATTTGGGGGGTGTGCATAGCAACTATGCCCATGGACCCCGACTTCCGTCATCCTTGTTTTAGGGACTTGGTTCTTGGAGGCGTGGTGTCGTTCAGGGAAGGACCATGGCTGGCCGGAATTACCGGGATGTTGGCATGGCCGAGAGAAAGAGGTCTGGTTGGGACTTTTGATCATTCTGGGCCTGAAATAGGGGGGTGAGGCTCGCGAATAGGTGAGTGTCGAGGACGGGCCAGATCAAGGGATGGGGGACTGAGAATTGCCATCGTATCTGCAAAGACATCTGTGATGGGGTCGGGAGCCCTGAGGAACTCCAAGGCGCGTATACCGACGCTTCCTGGAACAACGTGCAGCTGCTACCACTCTCTCCGCACTGTAGTCCAGAAGTCACGATGCGCTGGATTGTGAACACAGGTGGTTAAGTAGAGGGACTATACTCGGGCCCTCGGGACTTCTTCTAAAGTCACTCGTATGTCTTCTCAAATTTCTACCTTTTCTAGACTTTCTCTGCGGCCTGAGTGACTGTTCAAAGATTCTTCCATCTTTCCGGAAGAGGATAGCTCAAGTTCTCAAGGGTATCAAGGAGAGGAGGAAGGCAAGTTCTCGCAAAGCTTTGTACCTAATTGTGCTATCCTGCCCTTGCATATGGCCACGCAAGTAATATTTCAACTCTCCTTTTTCCTCCTTTTGACAGAAGCGCTCACTTCTTCTCCAGCGTTCGCAGTCTTGACGTAGGCAACCGCTGAAGTCTACGAGTGTAACTATGCTTCCAACGTCCAGCAACGCGAGAGTGACCCTTTCCATGCTATGAATGAACCCCTTGTCAATGCATCATGCCCCCCTTTTCCCTCCGTGACTAAAATCCCAACTCTGAGAAACAAGCAAAAAAAAAAAAAAACCGAACCGCCCCTGATTTTCACTTCCTGCACCGCGCCCGGAACTTGCCCAGCATCCTGTCCAGCCCGGGCACGTCGAGCCCCTTCCACCCCTCGGCCGAGCACTCCTTCTGCCCGATCTCGACCACGGCGCCGATGAGGTCCTTGGTGATCTCCTCCGAGACGGCGCTGTCGTGCCCGTAGGCCGGGTGCTGCGCGACGAACTCGCGGATCCACTTGGCCGCCGTCCACAGCTCGCCCGAGGCCCGCTTGCGGATGAGGTCCAGGTACGTCGCCAGCTCGCAGCGCGTCGCGACGTCGACGTTCATCGAGTCGAGGTAGCTCTCCACGAGCGGGATCAGGCCCGGGAAGTAGTCGCCCTCGAAGTCGTCGTCGTCGTCGTCCTCGGCCTCGGCCTCGGCCCCGGCCTCGCCGTTGCGCTGGCGGCGGCGGCGGCGGCAGCTGCTCGTGCCGTTCATGATCTCGTCGATGGTCATGAGCCGGTACTCGTCCTCGACGGGGCCGGTCGGGGTGGGCGGGCGGCTGACGGCGGGGGTGTTTGTGCCCGAGGTCATGCTGCGGGCGACGCGCTGGGGGAAGGGGTTGCGGCGGAAGTAGAAGCGGCGGTCGAGCACGGCGTCGCGGGCGTGGGCCGTCTGCATGTTGTCGTCGACGCGGGCGATGGGGATGTAGAAGTTGAGGTCGAAGGAGAGGACGGCGCGGGTGACGAGCACGAGGAAGACGGCGAAGGCGGCGTTCTCAAAGTCGGTGACCTGGATCTCCATGGAGCGGAACTCGACGCGCCAGCCGATGTTGTTGTCGGGCGGCGGCGGCTTGAAGCGCATGTGCTGCCAGTTGGTCGACTGCAGGTTCTCAAAGTGGTCCGCCTTGGCCAGGTCGAGCTCCTCGAGGTCCTCGGCGAAGACGACGATGGGGTCGCGGATGAAGAGGTGCCCAAAGTGCGTCGCGAGCCGGTCGTCCATGCCGCCCTCGAGCAGCTTGGCCTTGATGTCCTCGTCGATGACCAGGTCCGGGTCCATGTACTCTGGCCGCAGGCGCGGGTCCGTCGAGATGTACGTCGAGTTGGAGGCGTACCGCGACTTGGGGATCCTCCACCTGTCGTTTTTCAGGGGCTTCTCGCCCATCTCCTCTGCCGTCCGGTCGTCCACCGCGTTGCTGATCTGGTTCCACCGCACGTCGGTGTCGGCCAGGAAGCCCTTGTACACGGGCGTCGCCGCCGTCAGCGCCAGCAGGATCGGGCCCAGGGGGCTCAGCTGGTCGTACATCTGCCGGCCCTCGGTGATGTTCTTGGCCTGGAAGGTGATCTGCAGGCAGCAGCTGCCCATGCCGAACGCCATGGCGTCCATGTGGATGAAGTTGTCGGGAGCAGCCCCGTTGCGCACGTCGTCGTCCTCGGGCCAGTTGTGCAGGTCGTAGTTGACAGTCGGGTCCTTCCAGGGCCACGCCGTCTTCTCGTCACGGAAGACCGGTACGTTCACTTGTACCTTGCGGCCGCGGCGAGAGCGGATGTTTGCGGCCAGTGTGGGGAAGCGGATGTGCGGGTTGGCGATCTCGTCGGGGACAAACTGTGAGCGCAGCCGGGGTCCGGAGACGGGGTAGTGAGGTTCGGTGAACTCGCCAGGCGATCCTAGGCGTGGGAAGGTGGTGAGAGTGATGGGCCACTCGTCAGCACGCATGTGGTCCTTTGCAATGACCCTCCTCAGCCTCATGTTGTACTCGACATCCAGAAGGTCTTTGAAACCAATGCCCCACGGCTTGCCCGGTGTCGCCTCCAGCATGAACCTACCAAACTCCGGATGGAAGACGGGCAAGGGCTCGTTGGCCCTGATCTATTTGTCAGTCGCCGTCGGATGCCAATGTGGATGAGCATGAGACAAAACTCACTTTCCATCAGTGAGAACCTGCAGGTCAGGCACGCAGCCCCCCTTTGCGGCCAGGGCAGAATCGTCTGCCAGGGCTTCGAGGATCTCTGCTTGTCTCAGGGACAGACGCACATGAGGGTCGTCCTTGGAGTAGGTGACGACAAGGTATTCGACCTGCAGTTTCATGAGCCAACTGAAACATCACATTGCTTTTTTTTCCACTCCAAGCATTGGCTGCCGTGATATGAAGAAACCTACCTCATCACCCCACAACAAGGCATCACGCTCCTTGTATTTAGCCTTGTTCCATATCTCGAGAAGTTGCTATCCTCTCATGTTAGCGACTTTGTTGTCCCTTTCCATATCTTCGTGATGAGAGACGGAGATATGGCACGTGAGCTTCTCATACCTTGATGCCCCATTCCCGCACCTGCTGGGCCTTGAGCTTGGCTTCGTCCCATTCGAGGGCCGTTCCCAGAGCCCTAGGAAGCAACCACTGTTAATTGCTGCCGTGCTGGTTCACTGGCAATAGAGTAAATACTCACAGCAAACCCATGTTGGAAGAGGCGTTGCCGGAAAGCCTTGTGCGACTCAGAAGGAAGACTCCGAAGTTCTCCGAATCGAGATAATTGGGGCGGCGCCGGTGCTAAGCCGAGCAGGGTTTTCGTCAACCCGCAGCGCCAAGGGGAAAGGTATCGGCGCTGGAGCAAGCAGAGAATGCAATGCGCAAAAACCAAGCAGCCCTGGCGTTCTCTCAGAAGACACCTGTGACAGACGGGCAGTGAAGGATGGAAGGCTTTGAGTTTTTTTTCACAAGGTCTCGAATAATGGCAGGCTAAGGGCAGGCCGCTCGTAGGACCGTCCCGGAACGTCAACTGACTCGGCGTCGGCAGCCTTACCGGAATAGTAGGAGGGGATGGTGTCTCGAGATCTGATTTGCGGCGATGAAATCGTCATGGACAGCACGCAATACCTGGACAACGTGATTGGCGCGCACTAGGGTTTTTCGCTGGTGCTTCTGGAAGCGGATAATATGGGGTTTTATGTCTTCATCGACGCCGGAGCAGACACAAGGGCACGATGGGACTCCCGAAGGTTATCAATCAGGCCCGAAATCTCACTCTCGAATTCGAGACATCAGATCGCTTCCCGCGGTTCAGACTTCAAAATGGTAAAATTCTGTAATGGCAATACCTGCGCATAAAAGGCGCGCCTCCCCATCTACCGACCAAGGCGGGGCAGCGCAGCAACGCCGAACGCCGTTGGTGTAATCGCCATAGTGTTTTTAGGTCTGCTTAGAAATCCATTCTCGAGATTCTAAAGCCGCTGGGCAGCCGGAGAATGGGGTCCATTACAGAAGGGCGCTGGAGGGCGCGCTGGAGGGGCGCTTGCTCGTCCCGACTTCCACGGTTCGGGGCGACGAAAGGGAGAGGGGATCATCGAGCAGGTGGTTGCACTGCTCTCTCGGCACTTGCTCGAGGCATCACCATTTGTTTGGCTGGGGTGGTTGGCCACAGGTGGGAAGATCTGACGACTCGGATGGATATTCCACCAGGTGCGTAGAGGGGGACGGCATGAAATGAAACAGGAGAGAACTTGTAGGATGATGGTATGGGTGGAATATCGCATCGGAGCCGAGATGCGCTTCAAGTCTGTAGTCAGTCTCCTCAATATCAGTATCGATTTTCTGGAATTATTACTATTGCCAGCCAGTTCTCATCAGAGAGTGCAGTCAGAAAAGGCGAGAAGGACAAGGACCAGATCTTCTGCCTCAGGCATCCCATTCACAAATTTAGGCAACCACTCTCGTTACCCTTTCTTTGTGCCCGCCTGCAGCAGCCCCCCTTTTTAGCGTTTCTTGCTTGCCTACACCACGCCTGAGGCCTGACTGATGGCGGCTCTTAACGCGTGACGTGCGTGACGCGAAGCTACTAAATTTCCGCCCTCTCTCCAAGCTTGGGACAGCTCATCCACCAACCAACCAACCAACCAACCAACCACCACCACCACCACCGACCTTATCCCGGGATCACTCTCTTTTCATCAAGGCGTCACCCGGCCGTTGTTCCAACCAATTTTGGTTCAACATCCATCTCTCCCCCTTCCAGCCTTGTCGCTGTCCTCCCCAATTTCTCGCCATCGCCCCTCCGGTCAATCACCATGGCGGAAATCAAGATCGACAGCAAGCTCTTCCAAGAGCGCATCTCGCACTTTGCCAGTGCGTGGAAGGCTGACAAGCGAGCTGGCGATGCCGTCTTCTCCGGCGCCTCGTCCATCCTCATCATGATGGGCAAGGTTGAAGAGACTCCCGAGCTGCACAAGAACAATGCCATGCACGTAAGTTTGATCAATTATTCTGCTTGGCTCGGTTGTCGCGTGCGCCCGAAGGGTCGCATACACGGAACTAACTTGTCTCGCAGTTCTGGCTGCTCGGCTACGAATTCCCTACGACTCTCATGCTCTTTACCGTCGATACACTTTACATTGTGACCACACAGAAGAAGGGTATGCGCGATCGGCGAGGTCGAAGATGGGCGTGAGGATCAATCAGGCTGACAAGTGCGCTAGCAAAATACCTGGACCAGGTCAAGGGCGGCCGCTTTCCCGTCGAGGTTTTGGTTCGCGGCAAAGATGCCGCTGAGAACGAGAAGATCTTTGTCAAGATCACCGACATCATCAAAGAAGCAGGAGTAAGTCCTGATGCGCACACGTGGGTGTGAGCGACTCATGGATAAGCTGACATGTCTGGCGTCTAGAACAAGGTTGGCGTCCTGACCAGAGACACCTCCCGAGGCCCTTTCGTCGACGAGTGGAAGAAGACTTTTAGTGAGAAGTGCAAGGATGTGGAGCAGGTCGACATCGCCTCCGCCCTGTCCATTGCTGCCTTCGCCACCAAGGACGAGACCGAGCTGCGCGCTATGCGAACCTCGTCCAAGGCCTGCGTTGCTCTGATGCATCCTTACTTCCTCGACGAGATGTCCAACATCCTCGACCAAGACAAGAAGGTCAAGCACAGCGCCCTGGCAGACAAGGTCGAGAAGAAGCTCGACGATGACAAGTTCTGGAAGACGGTTGAGCTGCCTAACAAGCAGAAACTGCCCAGCGACTTTGATGTCGAGCAGCTCGACTGGGTCCTGGGTCCGGTCGTTCAGTCTGGCGGAAAGTTTGACCTTAAGTGGCAATCGGAGGTGAACAACGACAACCTGCACCCTGGCATCATCATCTCGGCTCTAGGCCTGCGCTACAAGTCGTACTGTTCCGCGATTGCGCGCACCTTCCTGGTCGACCCGAACAAGTCCCAGGAGAGCAACTACAAGCTGCTCTATGCAGTTCACAACTTGATCTTGAAGGAGATCCGGGATGGCGCCGTCATCAAGGACGTCTACAACAGGGCCCTCAGCTATGTCAAGAGCAAGAAGCCCGAGCTAGAGAAGCATTTCCTCAAGAACATTGGCTATGGTGTCGGCCTGGAGAACCGCGATCCCACCCTTGTCCTGAACGGCAAGAACTCGAGAGCTTTGAAGGATGGTATGACCCTCTGCATCACGACTGGTTTCAGCGACATCGAGAATCCCACACCGCAGGACAAGAACAGCAAGCATTACTCGCTCGTCATCACCGACACTATCCGGGTCACAACCGCTGAGCCTGTTGTCTTCACTGGCGATGCCCCCAGCGATGCCGACGCAAGCTCGTTCTTCTTCAAGGATGACGAGGAGGCCCAGCCGACCCCGAAGAAAGAGAAGAAGGACTCGCGAGTCGGTGCGGTCGCAACTAAGAATATAACGAGTACCAGGCTGCGATCGGAGCGCTCTACGCAGGTCGACGAGGATGCCGAGAAGCGGAGACGTGAGCATCAAAAGGAGCTGGCAACGAAGAAGCAGAAGGAGGGCCTTGCCAGGTTTGCCGAGTCCACCGGCGGCCAGGACGGCAAGGAGGTCAAGAAGTTCAAGCGCTTCGAGTCCTACAAGCGAGACAACCAGTTCCCTCTCAAGATCCGCGACCTTGGCATCGTTGTCGACGCCAAGAACAACACGGTGGTGCTCCCTGTCATGGGACGCCCCGTGCCTTTCCACATCAACACGATCAAGAACGCGAGCAAGAGCGACGAGGGAGAGTGGTCCTACCTCCGAGTCAACCTTTTGTCGCCGGGCCAGGGTGTCGGTCGCAAGGATGACCAGCCCTTTGAGGACGCTTCGGCGCACTTTGTCCGCAGTCTGACCTTCCGATCCATGGACGGCGATCGGTATGCCGACATCGCCAACCAGATCTCCAACATGAAGAAGGACGCGAACAAGAAGGAGCAGGAGAAGAAGGATATGGAGGACGTTGTTGAGCAAGACAAGCTGATCGAAATAAGGAGTGAGTATCATCAAGACTCGTCTGCAGGGGACAACCGAGGACTAACGCGAGTACAGATCGACGACCTGCGGTGCTGGATAATGTCTTCATCCGCCCTGCCCTGGAAGGCAAGCGTGTTCCGGGCAAGATCGAGATCCACCAGAACGGTATCCGCTACCAGTCTCCTCTGAGCACCCAGCAGAGGGTTGACGTGCTCTTCTCCAACGTCCGCCACCTCTTCTTCCAGCCCTGCCAGCACGAGCTCATCGTCATCATCCACATCCACCTCAAGGACCCCATCCTGGTCGGCAACAAGAAGAAGACCAAGGATGTGCAGTTCTACCGAGAGGCCACCGACATCCAGTTTGACGAGACTGGCAACCGGAAGCGCAAGTACCGGTACGGCGACGAGGACGAGTTTGAGGCGGAGCAAGAGGAGCGACGCCGCCGTGCCGAGCTGGACCGTCTGTTCAAGGCATTCGCCGAGAAGATTGCCGAGGCGGGCCGCAACGAGAACATCGAGGTCGACATGCCGCTCCGTGAGCTGGGTTTCAATGGAGTCCCGTTCCGGAGCAATGTCTACATCCAGCCTACAACCGAGTGTCTGATTCAAGTCACCGAGCCGCCTTTCATGGTGCTCACGCTCGAAGACATCGAGGTGGCCCATCTGGAACGCGTGCAGTTCGGTCTGAAGAACTTTGATCTCGTATTCGTCTTCAAGGACTTTACACGAGCGCCTTACCATATCAACACGATTCCCGTCGAGTCCCTGGAGGATGTCAAGGAGTTCCTCGACTCGTCCGACATCGCCTTCACCGAAGGTCCGCTCAACCTCAACTGGCCCACCATCATGAAGACGGTCACGGCCGATACTCACCAGTTCTTTGCCGATGGCGGCTGGTCCTTCCTGCAGAACGAGTCGGACGACGAGGACCAGGAGGAGTCCGAGGAGGAGAGCGCCTTCGAGATTGACGAGAGCGAGCTGGAGGAGGCGAGCGAGTCGAGCGAGGAAGACTCGGACTTTGACTCGAACGCATCGGCTGAGGCTAGTGACGAGGATGTTAGTGAGGAGGAAGAAGGCGAGGACTGGGACGAGCTGGAGCGCAAGGCCAAGAAGCGAGACCGCGAGGGAGGCCTCGAGGACGAGGACCGCAGCGGCAAGAAGAAGCAGCGACGGCGCTGAACGATCGCCTCCGCGGTCAGGAAAAAGCGGGTGTAAAAAAGGTGGTTTGTAACGCGGGATTTTTGCACAAAACATCACGGCGATGACAAAAGGAAGCGGAGGGAAATTGGCCATGTCTCGATAGTTCGTTTTTTTTTTGTTTGGGCTCGATCCCCATTGCGCGTTGTTAGGCCTCGAGGATTTGTCACGGGCGATGGTTATTGCCTGTCTTGATCATGGGCGTAGTGTTGTTAGGTATTTGTAGTCGATACTTGGGCAGGAAGATACGGAATACATGGGACTTCTCAGAGATGCAAGGGACAAGTCGACATTGAAGGAGCATCAATCACCACTGTATTTCTCGACATGGAATGGTCAGGTTTGTTTGTCCTTCTTGCGCCAGACCGGGCGGGTGTGCCACTGACCATTGCCCAGAATAATGCAAGCAGGTACCTAAGTTGTGTCATCCAGAGCTATCGCACAAGGCTGTTCATGGATGGTCTATCTCTACTAGTCATCCGTGGCATCGCACGTCTCTTCCGAGACCAACCACCACAGGCCTTCCTTATCATGGTGTCCCCGCTGTCGGGCGTCGTGCCCGATGATGGCGGCGTGGGGTTCACTCGATGGGTCCTCGAATGAATAATGGATGATCGGAGGCGGCGGGGTAGCTCTTGGAGCTAAATCGTACCCCAAAGAGCTCTCTCTCTCTCCACTGTCGGCTCGGAGGTGAGGGCGGCAGGCTCTCCCACCATTGCATTGAGCAATGACATGACGACAACGCCATTTGTAAGACAGACTGGACCTGGAGCTGACTAGATGCAGGTAGATATGTGTTGATCGTTTCTGCACTATCCTTTCTTTCATACTCGTTCATCGCCAACTGTGCCCAAGAATAGGCTCACTAGAGAAGCAGAAGAAGAACACGGAGCTGTCATTACGGAGCAATACTGGATTGTTACCACGGAATCGAGCTCGTGGTGTTATCAGGGTCAAGAAGCAATATTCATGCCATGACCTCTGGTTAAGATAAACAAGATCCTACTACATCATAGACTCGGTCGGTATACTCATCCCAACCGTTTCCTTCAAAAGCACAACCACCCCGAGCTCACGAGGATGGGAGCAACGGACAAGAAGGAGCGGGGCATCCGCATCGCCATCGACCGCGGCGGCACCTTCACCGACTGCGTCGGCAACCTCGACGGCGAGGACGTCGTCATCAAGCTCCTGTCCGAGGACCCGGGCAACTACGACGACGCGCCCCTCGAGGGCATCCGCCGCATCATGTCGCACTTTGGCGGCCGCGAGATCCCCCGCGGCGAGGCCCTCGACACCTCGCGTATCGACAGCATCCGCATGGGCACCACCGTCGCCACCAACGCCCTGCTCGAGCGCAAGGGCGAGCCCATCGCCCTGGTCGTGACCAAGGGCTTCCGGGACTGCCTCGTCATCGGCAACCAGTCGCGGCCGCGCATCTTCGACCTCGCGATCCGCAAGCCCGACGTGCTGTACGAGCGCGTCGTCGAGATCGACGAGCGCGTCACCCTCGAGGACTACGCCGAGGACCCGCGGCGGCACGTCACGAGGGCCGAGGCGGCGCAGGCCGGCTCGGAGGCGGCGCGCCGCAGCGAGCTCGTCGCGGGCCTGTCGGGCGAGGCGGTGCGGGTGCTGCGCCGCCCCGCCGAGGACGAGATCCGCCGGCAGCTGCGCGAGGTGTACGACGCCGGCGTCCGCAGCGTCGCCGTGTGCCTCATGCACGCCTACACGTTCCCGGACCACGAGGCCGCCGTGGGCCGGGTCGCGCGCGAGATGGGCTTCGCGCACGTCTCGCTGAGCTCGGAGCTCATGCCCATGATCAAGCTCGTGCCGCGCGCGACGTCGGTGTGCGCCGACGCCTACCTCACGCCCGCCATCAAGAAGTACATCTCGGGCTTCCAGCGCGGGTTCGAGGGCGGGCTGGGCGCGCGCGGCGTCCGGACCGGGGAAGGGAGCCGCGGGGCGCGGTGCGAGTTCATGCAGAGCGACGGCGGGCTGGTCGACGTCGACAGGTTCACGGGCCTCAAGGCCATCCTCTCGGGCCCGGCGGGCGGCGTGGTGGGGTACGCCATCACGTCTTATGACGACAACACCAGGATCCCCGTCATCGGGTTCGATATGGGCGGCACGAGCACGGACGTGTCGCGCTACGGGGAGGGGAGGTACGATCATACCTTTGAGACGACGACGGCTGGCGTCACGATCCAGTCGCCGCAGCTGGACATCAATACCGTTGCCGCCGGCGGGGGCTCCATGCTGTTCTTCAGGAACGGCCTATTCGTCGTCGGTCCCGAGTCCGCGGGGGCGCACCCGGGGCCGGCGTGCTACCGCAAGGGCGGCCCCGCCACCGTCACGGACGCGAACCTGTACCTCGGCCGGCTGCTGCCCGAGTTCTTCCCCAAGATCTTTGGCAAGAACGAGGACCAAGGGCTCGACGCGGAGGCCAGCAGGAAGGTCCTGCAGGAGCTGGCGGACCGGGTCAACGCTGAGTCCGGCAGGGACATGTCCGTCGACGAGGTGGCCTACGGCTTCCTCACGGTCGCCAACGAGAGCATGACGAGGCCGATCCGGTCGATCACGGAGGCCAAGGGCCACGACTCGTCCAAGCACCGCCTCGCGACTTTCGGCGGGGCCGGCGGGCAGCACGCCGTCGCCATTGCTGAGTCCCTGGGCATCAAGCAGATCTTGATCCACCGCTACTCCTCTGTGCTCTCGGCCTACGGCATGGCGCTCGCCGACGTGGTCGACGAGCGCCAGGAGCCAGAGTCCAAGGTCTGGCAGGACGACGGCGAGGTGGTCGAGGAGCTCCAGGCCAGGATGGAGAAGCTGCGGGAGAAGTCGCGAGAGGCGCTCCAGGACCAGGGCTTTGAGGATAAGGAGATCGTCTTTGAGGAATACCTCAACATGAGGTACCGCGGCACCGAGTCGGCGCTGATGATTGTCAAGCCGAGCGAGGAGGACGCCAAGGAGCACTTTGACGGCGCGGACTGGGCGTTTGGCAAGGCCTTTGTCAAGCACCACCGCTACGAGTTCGGCTTCACGCTCGACGACAGGGACATCCTCGTCGATGACGTGCGGGTGCGCGGTATCGGCAAGAGTTTCAGATACGACGAGAAGACGGTCGACGAGCAGCTCAAGGAGGTCCAGAAGAAGGACGTGCCTGCCGATAGGAAGCACTCTACCGCACAGGTCTACTTCGAGGGAGGTCGCCTAGAGACGCCCATCTACAAGCTGGAGGATCTGAGCGTGGGCATGCAGATCAAGGGCCCCGCCGTTCTAGCAGACGGCACGCAGACGATCGTCGTCGCGCCAAAGACATCTGCCCTCGTCCTCGAGACCCATGTGATTATCGACCTACACGATGATAAGAAGAAGGACGGCGACGACGACGACGGAGACACGGACGGCTCCAAGAAGAGAGAAGTCGACCCCATCCTGCTCAGCGTCTTCGGGCACCGCTTCATGGCCATCGCGGAGCAGATGGGCCGCGCGCTGCAAAAGACGAGCGTCAGCACCAACGTCAAGGAGCGGCTCGACTTCTCGTGCGCCATCTTCGACTCGGAGGGCGCGCTCGTCGCCAACGCGCCGCACCTGCCCGTGCACCTGGGCTCGATGGGCACCTGCGTCAAGCGGCAGGCCGAGATCTGGCGCGGCCGCCTCCGGCGCGGCGACGTCGTCATCTCGAACCACCCGTCGTACGGCGGCACGCACCTGCCCGACGTGACGCTCATGATGCCCGCCTTCGACGCGGCGGGCGACAAGATCCTCTTCTACGCGGCGTCGCGCGCCCACCACGCCGACATCGGCGGCATCACGGCGGGCAGCATGCCCCCGCACTCGCGCGAGCTGTACCAGGAGGGCGCGGCCGTCAGGAGCGAGAAGCTCGTGTCCGAGGGCAGGTTCGACGAGGAGCTCGTCGTCGAGCTCTTCTACCGCCGGCCGGCGCGGCACCCGGGCTGCAGCGGCACGCGCTGCCTCGCCGACAACATCAACGACCTGCGGGCGCAGGTGTCGGCCAACCAGAAGGGCATCTCGCTGATCGAGGGCCTCATCGACGAGTACGGCGAGCAGACGGTCGACTTCTACATGCGCGCCATCCAGGACAACGCCGAGGCGTGCGTGCGGCGGCTGCTCAAGGGCGTGAGCAGCAAGTTTGAGGGCAAGGACCTGTCGGCTGTGGACTTTATGGACGACGGGAGCCCGATCCGGCTGAGGGTCACGATCGACGCCGACCAGGGGGAGGCGGTGTTTGACTTTGAGGGGACGGGGCCCGAGGTGTACGGGAACGTGAACGCGCCGGAGGCGGTGACTTATAGGTGCGTATCAAGAACGATGCTACGGTTTGGGAACTACGAACCAGGGGCTAGCTAACATGGTTCATGAATCACCACGCAGTGCGATCATCTACTGCCTCCGCTGCCTCATCTCGGAGGACATCCCCCTGAACCAGGGCTGCCTCAAGCCCATCCGGGTCAAGATCCCGCCCAAGTCGCTGCTCTCGCCCTCGGACCACGCCGCCGTGGTCGGCGGCAACGTGCTGACGAGCCAGCGCGTGACCGACGTCATCTTCCGCGCCTTCGAGGCCTGCGCCGCCAGCCAGGGCGACTGCAACAACCTCACGTTCGGCTTCGGGGGCAACGTGTCGGGCCAGGACGAGGTGAAAGGGTTCGGGTACTACGAGACCATCGCCGGCGGCAGCGGCGCCGGCGAGAGCTGGGACGGCACGAGCGGCGTGCACACGCACATGACCAACACGCGCATCACGGACGCCGAGGTGTTCGAGCGCCGGTACCCGGTCCTCCTGCGCGAGTTCTCGATCCGGAAGGGGTCCGGGGGGAAGGGTCAGCACCGGGGCGGGGACGGCGTCGTGCGGGACATCGAGTTCCGGATCCCCGTGCAGGCGTCGATCCTCAGCGAGAGGAGGGTGCACAGGCCCTACGGCCTGGCGGGCGGGGAGCCGGCCGAGTGCGGGCTGAACCTGTGGGTGCGCAAGGTGGAGAAGGCGAGCTGGGAGACGTCCCTGAAGAGGCTGAAGCGGGACGAGGAGAGGAGGAGGAAGAATGGCGGAGGGGACGGGGACGGGAACAGAGAGGTAGAGGAGGAAGAAGAAGAAGAAGAAGAAAAGGAGTACGAGGAGCGGTTCATCAACCTGGGTGCCAAGAACAGCGCGCCGATGAAGGCGGGCGACCGCATCATCATCTGCACGCCCGGCGGCGGCGGCTGGGGCAGGCCTGGGGAGAAGCAGGCGCATAAGACCAAGGCCGATCCGCAGCATGCGTGGAGGAAGGGTTCGCATGCTGCAAGGGAGGATGCCGCGCTGCAGGTGTAGTGTGTGGTGAGCCAAGTGTAGGGTAGGTAAGGCTCTTGTCTTTGCTTACCCTTTTCTGCCTGCTCAATGCCACCACGTTCATGTCGTCTATTACGTTCTCTCCTCTCACACAACCACCTCTTATTCAGCGCCCCATCTCACTCACTCCCTCACTCGCTCACTCGACTCGCGAACACCCGCCCCGATCATCGTGGCTGTTTTCGTGTTTGCGCACCCCGATTGTCTCTGTGGCCAATTCTTCCGCTTTCTTTGTTCCACCCCACGCCCGGCTGCAGCGTCTCTCCCTCGCACCATTGGCTTACATCGACGAACGGCAGCCCATCTTGTTCCGCCAGCCCGCAGGCAGTGTTACATCCGGAATCTCACTCTAGGTGGCTCTCACCACACACACACACACATACGCACATCTGTGTCCCCCCCCATTTCGGATGCTGCAGGTGGTGCGTGAGCATGTAACTACGTGTTTGCTACTACCCATCCCCATCCCCGTCCCCGTCCATCGGCTGCAGGTGGGCTGGATCTCCTCCCGTACGTACTGCAAGGTGTCATTAGATACACCGCCTGTCCCTCTCCCGGGACACACAGTGCAGAGCCTGGTTGATTTCCGTCGGCGGAGAGCGGACACACAATGGGGCAGGCGGTGTTTGCCGTGTTGGGCTGTGCGGGCTTTTTCCTGTTGCTCACGCAAGCAAGCCGTAGCAGCAGTGGCGGCGGCGGGCACATGTCCTCTGCTTTGTTGCTATTTTCGAGAGATGCGGTGACTGTCTCTCTCTCTCTCTCTCTCTCTGTGTGTGTGTGTCGCTCGACAGAAATACATAGCCTTTGTGTATCGCACTTATCTTTCCATTGTCGCCTTTTTCTGCGCTGACTTGTCCCCCGATTACTTGCAATTCCGGACCTCAATTGCGGACGACGACGACAACGACATATCTATATACCGCCACCATGACATGAGGTCAGGCGAAGATCTACTGAGAGAGTGCGCTTTTCCAATCTCTGTCTGCAATGAAGTTCACGAAATACCCGCCCGTCCTGCTCGTAACCGCAGCCACCGGCGCGATGGTCGGCGAGCGATACGCCACCCTCGACCCGGAGGAGACGCCGATGCTGATCCCGCGATACTATCCCGCAGCGTCTCCTCCGCTCCTCGCGAAGAGGGACGGCGATTGCGCAAAGGACTCTCATCCATGTAAAGCCTTCTCCACGCACGATCCCAACCTGCACGTACACAGGCACACCCAACAGAGCTAACACGGACCCGACTGCCCCGACAAACAGGCCTCGACATCGGCGCGCCGACCCTCTGCTGCGAAAACACAAAGTACTGCATGCGCAACGAGGACACCCTCGAGCCGGGCTGCTGCGCCATCGGCTCCAGCTGCGGCATGACCCTCTGCAACACGGCCTCCTACGTCTGCAACGTGACCACGACCCTGCCCGCGACCGCCACTCTGTCTACCGGCCGCGGCTCCTCCCCGGTGACGACGACGACCTCCTCCGCCGCCACGCTCAAGGCGTGCTGCCCCCGCCGCTGCCCCAACACGTCGCAGTACCTCTGCGCCGCGGACATGGGCAGCGGGTGCTGCGCCTACAGCGCGGCCTGCGCCTCGGACAGGCAGTGCATCGGCGCGCCGACGCCCACGAACGGCATGCCGACGCGCGTCACGCCCGCGGCCACGGGGGGCGACTGCGAGCGGCCCGGGCAGACGCCGTGCCCGGCCAGCGAGGGCGGCGGGTGCTGCGGCGCGCTGCAGCCGTGCACCCGCGTCGGCGGGGCGGCGTACTGCGCCCTGCCGACGGCGAGCGGGATCACGGCCGTGCCGGCGCCCGATGACGACGACGACGGCGGGGGACTGTCCGACGGCGCCAAGGCCGGGGTCGGCGTCGGCGTTGCGGCGGGCGCGAGCCTCGTCATCGGCGGGCTGGCGCTGCTGTTCATCCGCCGCCGGCGCAGCGGGGGCAGGCGGTCCGACGCGTCTGCCTCCGCCGCGGCGGGTCCCGGCGGCGGATGGGCCGGGCGGCCGCCGATGAGCGACGCGGCGTGGGACGACATGACCTCCGACGCGGCGGGGCCAGCAGGCGGCTCCGGGACCGGCACTGGCACCGGCACCGGTAGCGGTACGGCGGCGGCAGCAGCAGCAGCGGGGGCCAGCAGCAGGGGCGGCCTGGGCGGCCTGGGCGGCCTGGGCGGCCTGGCGCGGGACTACACGGGCCCGGACGCGGTGGAGGGGCCCTACACCGAGGCGGGCGGCCTGCGCGCGGACGGCGACGGCGAGGTGCACGCCGCGGGCGGCGCGGGGTCGCCGACGACGGTGCGCCGGGCGCAGAGGCGCAGCCGGTCCGGCGTGCCGGCGGAGCCGCAGGGGCCCAACGACATCGTCGCGCCGGTGGAGATGATGGACTCGCAGTCCGGCATCGTGCCGAGCGACGGCGGCGGTGCGAGTCCCGTCGAGAAGGACGCGGCGACGGATACCATCGACGGCCGGTTCGAGCTGTACGGCTCCGAGGTCGCTTCGCCGTACCTGCCGGCGGCCGCACGGACACTAGAGGAGGAGGAGGAGGAGGCGCAGCGGCAGCCGCGGCCGCGGCCGCGGCGAGATACGCCGCCCGTGGTGTCGCCCGTGTCACAGTCGTCGCCGGACCTGGAGACGGACGAGGATGCGTACTCGCGGATCCGGTCCGGGGCTGATGAGAAAGAGGAGCTCTAGAAGACTTTATTATTGTTACAGGGTTGCCGATGATGCCTATGGTTCTATTTGCAATAGTAAAACAGGAGAAAAAAAAAGACAACAACGCCGGTCCTGTTCGGTATCGAAGATGCAATCAAAGAGGCTCGCTATGCAATACCTCGAGAACAAATGTAGTTTCCCCCTTTTTGCACCAGAGACCTTAGTCTAACCATTAACGCCGAGTATTTGGTGCATGCCGCAGACAGAACAGAACAGAATAAGATGGAGGACTGATGAGATAACGCGGTTGATGCCGAGGGGCAAATCAACCTACGACACCGCCAAAGGGAGTGCAGGTATGCAGGTCCCTGACGAGGTCTTCCACATTGGGCAGATGCCTGCCGAGCAGAAATTGCTTCTCCTCCGTCGACCTCGTGCCGTCGCCGTCCTCGCTGTCGGCCCTCCTGCGGCTGGTGGACTGGTTGTTGAACGCCTTGGCGAGCTTGCTAGGGCTGCGCTGCAGCATGGCGGGGACCGAGTCGCGCGAGTCTGCCTTGGGGATGGAGGGCACCTCGGGCATGAGGTAGAAGTAGAGGAACTCGACGAGCTTGAGCTTGACCTCGCGCGAGGTGGAGCGCGACTTGAAGAGCGAGGTGACGGTCAGCAAGCCGTCTAGGGCCTCGAACGAGCGGGTGTTTTGGGGGCAGTCGATCAGGGCGACGACCAGGGTGAGCAGGGTGGCGGACTGGATGGCTGGGCAGTTGACGGGCTCGAGGAGGTCTAGGAGGAGCTATTGCAGGAGTGCAAGAGTCAGTTGATATGGTCCAAACCAAGAATGAGAAAGAGAGGGCCAATCGGCAAACCCACATTCATGTATTGATCGCGCGCAAAGAGCAGCTTGCTCGGCGGGTGCAGCAGCAGGATGCCCTGCATGAGATCGAGAGCGCTCAGGATGAGCAGGTCGTTCTGGCCGTCGTTGCCCTTAGACAGCAGGCGGTCGAGGGTGCTGACCAGGCGCATGGCCACGTTCCACTCGAAGCCCTCCTGCAGCTTGAAGAACTCGCGGAAGGCCGGGTCGTCGGCCAGGTCGGAGAGCTCCTTGCGCGGGGGCGTCGGCGGCGGCGTGATCTCGTCGCCCGGCTCGGCCTGCCTCCTGCTGCCGCTCCGGGGGGCCGAGAGGCACATGGGCGCCAGGAGGCCCTCGACTTGGCGCAGACCCTTGCGGATCTTGGGCCCGTCGTACGAGGACAGGTTGTCGAAGGCGAGAGACAGGAGTGCTTCCATCGTGGGCGTGGTGTGGAATGTGGGAACGTATAGTCGAAATTTGCAGAAAAGACACAGGCGAGCAGGGTAAGGGACTCGGTTGGATATCAGTTGGGTCGGTCGCAGCAGATAACGCGATCGAGAAGCCGGGTGGTAGAACAAGATGCAAACAAGCACAAATAAACGACGATGATGTGGTGATAGTTGAGATTGGGCGTTGGGATAGGTAAAGAGGGCGATGATGCCGCTGACTGGGTGTTAATACATGAGCATGAAGGGCAAAAGTGGTATCAATAGGGGGAGCCTGAAGGTGGGAATCCCTAGAGAGAGGACGAGAGAGGGCCGAGACTGGAGATGGGAACGGTGATGGTTTTGACGATGTTTTCTTGTGGAGCGATAAATGGCACGGCAACGGGAGTGACAGGGGTCAGCGGGAAGGCCTAAAGTGGCTAGACACCCTCTGGACCACGCCTAAAGTGCTAAATGGCCCCCTGTTCCGCAGCGCTGGGATTGGAATGTTGGGGTTCGGCCTGGGCGACGGTGGGGCCATTTTACAGAGGCTGCAGTAGCCTCAGCGGCCTGTCCTCGAATTATCCGGGGTTATGCATGTCATTGGCAGTCAAGTGAAGTCGTCACTGGTCCATCAATGGCCATTCCTGAGAGTGTTATCTTACCGGCCCGGGTCGAGTTGATGATATCGATGGTTGCTGATGAGGAGCGCGGGGTTCGAATGCGTCTGGGTAACTACAAGCAGATATTATCAACGACAAGCTTTGTCGGGACATAAAGCACCCAAGCATACATTGGCAATGCTGTGTTTCCAGGGAGGAGAAGCATGCAGGCCTGAAACCGGGACTGATGCGTTGCGTCGAGCACCGAGCGGAGGCCAAGCAATGTCTCGCGAGCCACTGTGTACGAATCACGAACTCCAAGGTCACTTGAAACTTTAATGGCAGGCAATATGCAAAGTCAATTGAGGAACTGAAGCGTTTAAACCCTCGGCTCGGGGTTTCCTGTTTACGTTCGTTGCTCAGGTCAGTCTGGCTTCTACATATCAGCCGGGCCAGACTCTAATAAATCGCACAAGATCTCTGGAACTCTGAGAAACAAGAACGAAACCAGGAAACAATTGCGACACCGCCCGGGTTGAGGCGACGACCGCATAAATCATGAACTCCGTTGACCAGGTTTTAAGGTTTCTGCCAAGGGACCGTGCAGCGAGATGAGTGACTCTGGCTCTGGCGCGCGACAAATCGGGTGACAAGCTCCCCTAAATGGCCTGGTCTCAGACATCCATCCATGGATTGTGCCTCGTCACACCTATAGCGCGACCCGGAAAACAAAACAGTCACCATGCTGCATGCTTTGCATGTTCTGAAGTCTGCTCTGCTTCTTTCTTTTTCCTTTCTTTTCATCAATCTCGACGTAATCGCATCTGTTGCTGTGGCCCCCTCGTCACATCGTTGCAGACAGGTGAGTGTACCTATCGGAGCTACCTAGGTACCTAACTACCTATACTCCGTCCCTAGATACCTCAACTCTGCCCCTCTTCCAATGAGACGAGCTTCCCGCGATGATCAATCACATGCAACTGTTTGCACCCCAAGCACCCCCCCGCAAACAACTGTCCCTCCCTCCTCATGCTGGAGCTTGATTTGATTGATCAAGTGCTCTTTGCTTGCAACTTTGCTTGCAACCCCACCAGATCAACCATCGCCATACCCGCACCCGCATCCGCCTCCGCTCCCGCACCCTCCACACTTTGGCATCATCCTGCTGCCTTGTGAGCTCGATCGGGCCACGTTGGGCTGCGCTGATCCGGAAGGGCCCATCGCTAACCAGGCATCACCTGTAGAAGCTTCTCTTGTGCTCGTGACAGCGAGAAGGTACCCGGTTTTCCCAGCTGCTAGCTCCCGTTGAGAGAGCTAAAAAGTGGTTGACGTATCCACCTGCAGACCTGCAGACCGCAGATGCCGCCGCGCCCCAGAGGGCTTTTTACGAGGTTACGCAGTTGACACCGACGTCAGCAGTGAGAGAGAGAGAGAGAGAGACGGTACCTAGATCAGACCGTGCCTCGACCGACCTGTCCTTTCCCATCTTCTCCAACACACACACGCGCGCGGGCGGCAAGGGAAACACCGACCAGGCCACCATGTACTCTTCCTCTCTCAGCCCGCCAGCTCCCACCCCGAGCGCCTTCCTCCAGTCTCCCAACGCCATCCCCAAGAGAACCTCTTCCACCGGCCAGAACTCAATAGCCACCGCGACCTCAAACACCGCCTCCTCCTCCCAGCAGCACGCCTCTTCTTCTTCTTCTTCACATCACCACTCCCACCACCAGAGCCAGCCCTCGTACTCGTCCTCAACAACCAACGCCAAGCCCATCGGCGTCCTTCGACCCCTCCCCGAGAGCGACTGGCTCAGCCAGACCACCCGCCGCTCCCGCAAGCCCTCCAACGCCACGACCCCTACCCCGAGCTCCTTCCTCGCCAACATGCAGCCGCCCGGCCCTCCGGACCCCAACCGCTACGCCACCGAGGACCTCAACTTCTCGGCCAAGAAGACGTGGTCCGAGGACAAGGAGCGCGTGCTCTGCGGGCCCTTCGACTACCTCTACGGCCAGAAGGGCAAGGAGTTCCGCACCCAGCTCATCAGCGCCTTCAACGTCTGGCTCGACGTCCCCGACGAGTCCCTGCAGGTCATCACCCGCGTCATCGGCATGCTGCACACGGCCTCGCTGCTGGTCGACGACGTCGAGGACTTCTCGTCGCTGCGCCGCGGCCTGCCCGTCGCCCACGCCATCTTCGGCGTGCCCCAGACCATCAACAGCGCCAACTACATCTACTTTTTGGCCCTGCAGGAGCTGCAGCGCCTGCGCAACCAGAAGGTCCTGTCCATCTTTGCCGAGGAGCTGCTCAACCTGCACCGCGGCCAGGGCATGGACCTGTACTGGCGCGACAGCCTGACCTGCCCCACCGAGGACGACTACCTCGAGATGGTCGGCAACAAGACGGGCGGCCTCTTCCGCCTCGGCATCAAGCTGATGCAGGCCGAGAGCCGCTCCCTCGTCGACTGCGTGCCCCTGGCCAACCTGATCGGCCTCGTCTTCCAGATCCAGGACGACTACCGCAACCTGTTCTCCAAGGAGTACAGCGACAACAAGGGCATGTGCGAGGACCTGACCGAGGGCAAGTTCTCCTTCCCCGTCATCCACAGCATCCGCACCGACCCGGCCAACCTGCAGCTGCTCAACATCCTCAAGCAAAAGACGACCGACGAGGAGGTCAAGCGCTACGCCGTCAGCTACATGGAGGGCACCGGCAGCTTCGAGTACACGCGCCGCGTGCTCGACGTGCTGATCGCCCGCGCCCGCAAGATGACGGAGGAGATTGACGACGGCAAGGGGCTGGGCAAGGGCATTCACAAGATCTTGGATAAAATGGTTGTCGAATGACATCGTTCAATGTTGCATATAATTCGGTTGGGTGTGGTGGGCTGGCTGGCTGGTTTTCTTTTTCTTTGGTTTCAGTCGTCTTTGTTGGGAATTTGGTTGGGTTTTCTGGCCGGCCGGGCTCTTTGTTTGGTGCTGCACGACATTAACATACCCCCTTCCAGTTCCAACTGGTCCTTTTTTTTTGCGGAAATACCTGGGTTGTTTGGATGATTGCAGTTTCATGGGAGGGGGAAAGACTTGGGCTGCGGAAGAGGCTGTCTGTCTGGCCTGAGTGGACACGGTTATGATATCCCACGTCTTGTAATACGTTATACCCGCAGGAGGCGCGTGTGCCGCCCGCCTTGTTGTTAAAGCGGACTCCGACTGACCGACTCATTGCCGTGCATGTGAAGACCTGCCGTGTATGGTGTAGCAGAGCCTTGTCGTCAAGGAGTTGGTCATCAATGGCCACATTCTCAGACAGAAGCACAAAGCACAACATGAGCCTCATACCACGCTCCTTCATCGGAGCTTGTATTGTCCAAAAGTTCTCTAAGCAAATCCCATCCCCCCCCTAAACGCCGTCGTTGATTCCTTTTTCATTCATTCATTTCATTCCTCCCTCCCCTCAAGCCGTCCCGGTGATCTTCTTCCTCCTGACCATCCTCACCCACCGCCTCCGCCTCCACTCGCCGCGCCGGCCCATGCCCTCCTCGCCCTCCTCCCAGCTGACACCGGGCCTGTCCACCACCGGCGGCGGCGGCGGCAGCCCGTCGGCCGCGGCGTCGACGACGCCCGTCGCGCCGTCCCTCTCGCTGTAGATGTCGTACACCCAGCGCTCGCCCTCGGTCTCGACCTCGACGCCCGTGATGATGCGCTCCTCGACCCACTCGCGGCTCCAGAGGTCGAGCGCCCACTTCTTGCCGCTCCACTCCCAGCCGCGCGGGGGCAGGACGTCCTCGAAGAAGCGCGTGCCGGCGGGCCGCTCGCCGGCGATGCGCGGCTGCGAGAGCGGGTCGTAGGGGCTCGGGCTGAAGACCCAGGCCTCCCACTCGCCCGACGCGGGCGACAGGCGCTGCAGCTCGAAGATCTCGACCTCGCGCTGCTCGGGCGCCTCGTCGAGGGTGATGTCGGCGCGGACCCAGGCCTGCAGGAGGCCCTTGGCGCGGTCGCGCTGCGGCGCGACGTGCTGCGCGCGGGCCTGCTGCAGGGCGCGCGCGACGGCCGGGTGGCCCGACGCGACGGCGGCCCAGCCGCCGGCCAGGGCGAGCAGGCGCCAGGGGAGCAGGTGGGCGGCGATGGAGAGGGAGAGGCAGGCGAGGGCCAGGGCGACGAAGAGCGCCGAGGAGCGGGCCTCGTCCGAGAAGTTGGTCGCGGGCACGACGGCGTCGATGACGGCGTCGTGCGCGACCGAGAAGTCGTCCATGCTGTTCTGCAGGTCGCGCATGTTGCGGAAGAAGTCGCGCGAGAGCTCCTTGACCGGCTTGACCGTGCGCGCGGGCGCGATGGGCGGGCCCCGCGGCGAGAAGTAGTAGTCGTCGGCGGCGGCGTGGGCCTGGAGCTTGCCGTCGCGGAGCTCGCTGGACCGGGACACGGGCGCCGGGTGCCGGGCGACGAAGCCCGGGACCAGGACGCCGAAGAGCAGGAAAGCGGGCGGCAGCAGGGTCAGCAGGTAGGGGTCGAGGCAGACGAGGGTGTAGACGGCGAGCAGGGCGGCCGTGTGGGAGGGCCGGCGCCACGAGAGCAGCCGGATGACGCGGGCCTGGAACTTGAAGACGACGCCGATGCGCGCGTTGAACCGCCGGAAGTTGTTGGACATGGTCGTGATGTTGAACCCGGGCCGCTGCGAGTACGACGGCATGCTGTCGTCGGGCACGTCCATGTCCTGCACCTGGCCCGGCGGCGCGTCGTCGACGGGTATCACCTGCTGGAAGAGTCTGGGTTAGGGGAGAAAAAAAGGGGGCCGATGTTAGCTTTCATGTGCGCGACACCACGTGTAGTGGCATACTATTTCAGAGAGGAGGAGGTGCCATGTACTTGTCTAGGAGCTGGTCTTGCATGCTAGCCTTCTTCAGCAGGCCCCGGAAGCCGCGCCGCTTCTTCTCGGCCTTGTCGCCGTTGCCGCCGGAGCCGGGGGTGGATGAGCCCTCGGCGGCGTCATCTTCGCGGTCTTCGGGGTCCTGCAGGGCGGACTCGTCGTTGTGGATGAGGATGTCGGTCGTCAGGTCGTCCATTGTGATGAATTGGCGAGCACACCCGTGCGCGGCGGGCTGCTCACGCGATTACAGGCAATGGATGCGAGGCGAGGTAGCCGCTACTACTTCGGGCTTGATACGGTTATCTAGGGTGTTCGAGCATAGCGATGCTCTGTACGAGGAGGTTGCCGGGAAAGTTGAATTGCGAACCTGATGTGTGTAGTTGAGGAACAGAACTGCCTGAATCAGCTTGCGTCACATGTCAAAGTTGCCGACATTGAGACAGGCTTGGGCGCCAGTTCGTTTTGGCTTTAGCGCTAATCAAACGTCATTACCCCACGCTGGCTCCGACTGCAATAATACAAGTACAGGGTCGACATGGCTGGTGAAAGTTGAGCAAGACTTCTAGACCTCCAAGCCAACAAGAGCAACAAGAGCATCAGGCAGGCCATCCCATTGCATAGAATTGATCCTTCGATGGGTAGTGAAGTACGTATGTTACCAATCCGTCAACTAATCCGGCCATCACTTGACAGGCTATCCCACTACCGAGGTAGGTACCCAAGATTGATGGGTTCGATGATAAATGAGCAAGTACTTTTGTTGACAGTCGGTTTGGCTGCAAGTATGACAATATGGGCACTTCCTGGCCTGACTTCCATCGATCCTTGTCCGTGCAATAGTCTCTAAGCCTTAGTCCTTTGCCTCTTGACCGACCGCGTTATCTATCGTCTCTCACTTTGCTGCACCGTTTGTTCCGCATGCCCTTGACCAGCACTCGAGCTTGTAGTGACGGACTGGTGCAGATCACTGGGTGATGCCATCTCAGCATCTGGTTGTGAGCTCGCTGATGGCAAGGCAGCAGCCGTTGTTGATTCTGTAGATCAGACGAGTCAGCAAGCAGTGTATGATGCGGAAGACTTGTGTGAACAGACCTTGAGAGCTCTGAGTAAAGGGTAGGAATAGCTCGACGCAGTGACACGAGACACCCTGCCAGTGTGGTGTCTCGCGATGGGCTTGCTTTACTTCATCAAGCACCGTCCGGACCTCTTCGAGCCTACCCTGCCTTTCGTACAAACGACCTAAAGCTTCCAACGCGTCGTAAACGGCTCTATGATCCCGCAGCTCGGACAACCCTTCCAGTGCTCGCTTATACATCTCCTCGGCTGCTTTCAGTGTGCGCTGGCTGTGGTAAACATCACCCAGGTTGCCGTGCGTGAAATACGCGAGCCAAGCATCGACATTGGTTCCATTCTCCTCAAGTCCCGCCCTGGCTTTTTGGAATATCTCCTCGGTTTGCTCCAGCCTGCCCTGTTTGTAATAGACAAGCCCTAAGATGCCATAAATACTAAGAGTATGCAAGTTGTCTGGCCCATACAACTTCTCAAAGCACGCCAAAGCCCGCCGATACAGCGATTCAGCTTCTTGGTACCGGCCTTGATACATGAGAGCCATAGCAAAATTGGTGGATAGACGAGCAAAGTTGTCTTCGTCGATATCATGTGCATTCTGCAGGGCTACCAATGCCTTCTGGAGGTGCACTTCAGCTTCCTCCAGCTTTCCCTGTCTCCAATAGGCCTGACTGATGTTTCTGAGTAGACTGAGAACCAATGGATGGTCGCTGCCGAGAAATCTTTCCATGCCTCTTGCTTGTTGCAATACTCGAGTTGCCTCCTTTGGGCGGTCTAGCTCGAGGAGGGCGTGGCCGAGCTCGGCGAGCATCCGGTAGATTTCTTCCCAATCAGGTAACTGCCCGTGGAAACTCGCCAGTACTTGTTGACATATTCTTTCGGCTTCTTCGGGATTGCCCAGAAATCTGTAATTTTGTGCCTGGAGGATGATAAACCCGAGAGTCAAGCGATGCTGGGCCCCAAACGCCTGCTCCTGGCGCACCAATGCCCATTGGGATATTGCATTCGACTCTTCCATTCTTCCAAGGTCAAATTGCAACCAGGCGATATTGCACACGGCCGCCATTAGCTCTAGATCTTGCAGGCTGCCTTGTGGCTCGGGAAATCCACCCAGCCATTGCGCACATCGGCTGGCGTGGGAAAACAGCCGTCGATCAAGCACAACGCCAAGTAATCGACGAGGTTCCGCCAAGAATCCGACAATAGACACTGACAGCCTGCTGAACCGTAGCTTTGTCGGCTGATCAAGGCTATGTAACATCCATTGGTGCGCCACCGGATGGACGCTATAGCTCTCCTGTGCTGCCTCTGTCTCCTCGACCATGCAGTGCCGGATCAGCAAGCGAACAGCGTCAAGAAACCTAACGTTGTCACAAGCCAAGTCATGAAGCCAGGCTGGCCAGGATATAGGCCTGGGGTCATATTTCAGTTGAATTTCACGGGTTGCAGCACTTATGAGGCCGTGCCAGAAGTCCCTGTTGTCAAGGCATGCCCAAAGGCGGAGCAGGTCTGCCGCGTTGCTGTTCTCCTGTTCGATGATGCGGAACGATATCGTCCACGTTGTAGCGACACTGCGGTGGTCGTAATCGACAAGTGGCCAGTCAGGCTGGCCCCCAGCATTCATCAGTGAATCCCACTGTTTTCGGTAGAGCTGAAGATAGGTAGACGTGCTGATCTTGGTCTGGCATATGTAAGATCCAGCCTGGGCCAGCGCCAGAGGTAGACCATCGAGTGACTCGAGCAGCTCCTGGTCAGTCCTGTCCATAGCTATGTCCAGTCAGTCGTCGCTTCCTGTTCGGTCAAAGGGGAAGTCTTACAAAGTGTTATTTCAGACCACTTTTCGAATATGGCTCTTGCAAGCCCTGGGTCAACCTTCCTGAGGTGTTTTGAATCGCCAAGCTGCATGAGTCGCGACAATCGCGTCGTGACCAATATCGACCCATGGTCGCTCGAGGGGATGTACTGTCGGATATCACAGGCACCGGTCTCTTGACCCCCTTCCCAGTCCTGGTCGACATTGTCAAATATGAGGAGCCATCTGGTGTTATCAGGTCGGGAAAGCCAGGCTATTGTATTTGCCGTGATGGCATTTATTTCATCCTGGCTGAGCGAGGTTGTTATCGTTCTGCTCCTTCCCGGGATTTGGACTTCTGGGATCCTCTTCGCACATTGGACAAAGCTCTGTTTCAACTGCTGTTCGGATCTCCCATCGAGCCAGAAGATGGAGTCAAATGCGCCCTGATGTCGCCGGGCGAAGTTGGCAGCAAGCTGTGTCTTGCCAATGCCCCCAAGGCCGTACAAAGCGAAAATTCGTCGCTTTCGTATCTGGTCCGTATTGGGAAGGAGCTTCTTTTCGATCTCAAACATGTCGGTCGGCCGGTGCACATAGTGCTCGGAAGCAGGCACACCCTGGAGACTGAATGGTATTCGATAGGGGCTGTGGGCTGATGGCGAGTGTATTAGTGAGACATACCTAGTGGTAGATAGGATCACTGACTGGTGGGATTTGTAGGCACCCAGTAATCCAGAAACGCCTTCATACATGCTGCTGCTGTCGCTGCCGCATACCGCTGCCAGGTCTTGGTCTTGTGGCTGTCCGCATAGTCACAAGCCCCCTTCATCACGATACAAGGAAACACATCCCAAACACCGGCACTCTCCATCTCGAATGCGATGATACCCTCTTTCTTCGCGATAGCGTCGCGGTCTTCGCCCGACTTCATGACTGTGTCGCCCGAGGCCATGAGGCCGATGTGCACGGCAGGCTCTGTGTGAGACTGGCTGAGGCGCTTGCGTTGTACTAGCTGTCCGCTGCAGCCTGCTTCCACGCACGACTTTTCTTTGCCCTCGTGTCGGTACGCCGCTTCGAACAATATGTCGCACGCTGCGCCAGGGTACTCGGCCTCCAGATCCTGCTCGGCCTGCATGACACTCAGATAAGTAGCCATTTTGCTCTGTATCTGCTTGCGGTCATGCCGGCTCTTGAGCTTTGCGAGAAGCGAGCGGATCTCAGGGTTTGGCCTGCCCAGCGAGTCCTCCAGTGTGTCCTTGCGCACAAACTTGTCCGGTAGCCGGTGGCCGAAGTCGTACTGGATAACGCCGTCGCTGACGATGACGTCGCCGAGAACGATCTCCTTGCCGGCGTCGAAGGGGACCACGCCGCAGACGCCAACGACGAGAGCGAGCTTGATGCTGGGGAAGCTTATCTTGCAGTTGCTCGCGACGGTTGCCGCGCTGACCTTGCCCATGCCGGGCATGTGGGCGAGGACGACATTGTGGCGTCCTATCACCCCGGGGGTGTAGGCGTTGGCATCGCCTTCGGCCTTACCAAAGGGAGGGCCATCGTCTTCCCAGTGGTGGTCGAAGAGGGCGTCTACGGCATCGGCTTCGAGGACTAGGGCGCAGATGATGGCGATCTCGAAGTCTCGGCGGGACGCTGGCCGCGGAGGCAGAGGCCTGGGGTTGTTGGCCCTGTCGGCGTCGGCCATCGTCAGAGGATAACAAAGTCGCCAACGACGATATCAAGGTCTTTTTTGCCACAGCTCGTCACTTTGTGGTCTGGCAGGGAAGCATTGTAGATTCTTCCTGCTTTGAGAGATTTTCGTGACGAGGCAGCTCAGCCGCACAGCCTGATCCCCCTCTCCCAAGGACATGGCGCTTCCATCCTGTTCTGCGTTGTCGCCCAATCACGCAGCTGGCCCCCAACATGCAGGAAATCACATGAGCTTGGCGGCGGTGCCCATCTCTTGTAGCAGATGTATGCATGCTGCAAACCGATTGTAGTGACAACGATTCGTCTTTTACCTTGAGATGCGATCAGCGTGGCCATTGTTCGACCACGAGACTACCCGTCAATTTCAGTCAAAAGGATAACGTGCCATTACTGGCCATGAGCCCAGGCCATTCCACTGCCTAAGATATGCAAAGATGTATGCAATTGTGTCATCAAGGTAGATATCAGGAAAACAAATATCAGAGCAACTCCTCCACTGAAGCTCAAATGTTTGGCGATAATGGTGGGACCCAGTTTCATATTCGGGACGCGAACCATTTCCACGCCGCCAGACTGTACAGCCTTGGGGTTATCGGCAAGACATAGCCTGTCACATTCTATTCCATCTTCCGCTTAGAAGGGAGATTCGAAGAGCAATTAAAACAGACCTTTGTCCGGCGCACGGGGGAGACATTGAGTACATTGTCCTTACTCTGTGTGCCGAGGCGCGCTTAAGCTCATCAAAACATTGCGCTGCTACTGAGAACTTGACGGGTCTTTTCCATCGAGAGGCCAAGTAGCGCGCCACTCGGCTGCTGGTTAACAGAGTCAAGGCCAGTACTCCGTAAGTATCTCTTGAGTAGTATCAAATTGCAGAAATACTTGCAAAACCGATGACAAGACCCCGAGAACGGCTGGTCAACCGGGCAGGCGTCTGCAGGGCTGGTGGCATATTGCATACCTATCATCTCTATAAGGCAGCTGGCTGGGATGGACGGCATGAAGTACTGTTTACATTTTGCATGAAAGGCAAAAAGGCATTGCTGATGCGGATCCCGTTGCTCTCGCGATCGCAAAATGATGGGCGTTGAGGAGCCAAACCCGCCGAGCGCATCAATAACGGAGGCCTGTTAAGAAAACAAAAGCAGCACCAACAGAAAGGGAAAGAATGCGGTGGCCAAGTCAGGTGTGTGTCAGGCTTGATCAGTCCTGCTGTTGGTGCCGAAAGGGGGTTCGTTGAAGATCGTCGGTCAATCAGAAGCAGGCCGGCTGTGGTCTGGTGTGGGAGGGCCCGCCGCCATCCCGTCGTTAACAGAGAAACGCTAGGAATTTAGAGGCAAGGCAATCTTGGACCATCTCTGAATGGATCTGCGTAGACCCCCTTTCTGGACTTTTCTTGTTGATACTTGGCCCAAAACAGTGTACTGTATCAAGCATACCTAGGTACCTAGTTACAGGTCATGATATCAGACATGCGACCTCATTTTCTAACCGGTGCTGTTGCTGCTGCCGTCCGCCGGGCTGCAAGACGCAATGCAAGTCATATTACGGCAAACTGCTGGCCGTGGAAACTGGTCTGTGTAAGGTGAGGAAGGTAGGTAGGTAGAGGTAGGTACCTTTACTGCACAAAGCAGGTGACTACCTAGATGAATGCAAGATCTTGCGCCTGTTCGTCTTTCTCGAAGGCCGTCTTTGTTATTGCAACGACATCTACCTAACCCGTCTGATATCCCAGGGGCCCTCGTTGCCAGAATCAACAAATAACACAATCCAGTCAAATAATAGGCTGGAGATGACGAGACGAAGGGCAGGGGTCCGACGAGAGAGTGGGCGTTGTTTTGAAGAAACAAGACCGCAAAACGGTCGTTGGCCCCGTCAAATTTCCCGCTGGCTGGCGGTCCCTGACAGTAATGAGGTGGGTCGCCTGGCTCTGGCGTTAGCACGGCTGCTCTCCGCTACTGCATCACCCCTTAAAAAATCTACCTTTCGCGTTAGCAGGGTTAATTAGCGTCGTGTACCTCTCTCTGGCAGCCTCCACTGACGCGGCCCGAGCTAATAGTGGGCTCTCCAGCGCTGGAGCTCGTGCTACAGAGCCTACCGACACCCTTCTGGCAGCTGTTCACGGGTCCCCTCTCTCCTCTCTCTAGAGCCTTAGAAGTAGACTACCTCTGGCAAGCCAAGGTCAGCCGCCGCACCCCAGCTGCCACTTTAAACGGGGGAAAAGAGACAGACGGGCCAGAAACGGGCGTGCATGTGGTACTTCCCTCGACACTCCCTTGGGATCCCCCGTCCACTCACTCGCTCGCCCACCCATCCATCTGTCGCTACTCCCGCGCCCGCCCACCACACTTTTGCGCGATACCGTCCCCATTTTAGTGTCGCTCTCTCTGCAGTGTGCAAGTGTGTGCATGCTGCTGCACTTCAATCTCTCGTCCATTCCCTCCTCCATCTCCCTTGAACCTTCAATTGCAGACCGACGACCCGTCTTCCAGCCCGCCCCGAGAGCTGGACGCCGCACTCTCCCCCAGGCAACATACGTCGCCCGGCTTCACCCCTGACCACTCGCGCGCCAATTGCCGACACGATTGTCTGATGCGAACAAGTAGTTGATCGGAATGAGGTAGCCTTTTGAATGCACTCAGATCCTTGACCGGACTCTGAGCCCGGCTCCTGCTGCGACTGGGGACCGCTCCTCGACTCGTCCCGACCGATCAGCAAGGGGAGACGGCTCTCCTCTTGTTGGACGCTCAATCGGGGCGCTTTCGCTCTTTGTGTTCCTGTCCTCACTCCCCTGTTCCAGGGGGGACTCTGCCCTTCTCTCTCTGACGACACCGCTCGCGGGCTCTCCCCTATGTTTGCACGGGAGCACAAGATACCTGCTGGCCCCCGACCGGCAACCCAGTCCCCCACCAGGTTCGTGTCCAGAAAAACCCCAGTTCTCGGAGTCGCCTCCTTGCAACCTCCCATCTCCACTCTCCCAGGAGGAGATCTGTGGCGCTGACTTGCCCTTGTTTACACGCAGAGCCAGGCAGACCAACAGCCCGTCCAAACCGGGTCCCGCACCTACTCTTTCCACCAACGCTCCAATGCTCAGTGCATCTTCGTCCAACAACCACTCCCTCTTCTCCTTTGGCAGGAATGGCGGCGGCGGCGGCATCTCCAACGAGGCAGGGGAATCGAGCACCTCCTACGACTTCCTCCCCTCGGTGAGCTTCGATGACCTGCAGAGCAGTCTCGAGTCTGCCTCGACCGAGTTCAAGTTGACCCAGTTCCCCTCGCCCACAGGGAAAGGGAGCATACTTGGAGGCCAGAACAGCAGCACAGCAGACAAGATGGCCCAGCCTTCTGGCATCACGAGGAACGGCACGACCACGCGCGTCGCTATCCCCCCTTCCTCGACTCGCCCGGCCAGGTCAGGCTCCATCTTGCGGAGACCGAGCACGTCCAACCGACAACCTAGTATATCGTCGTCCGCTTCGGTCGGGTCAAGCATTGCTGATGCTCCAACCGCACCAGCTGCCATGAGGAATCGTCGCCAGAGCGCGTACCCCCCTGTCTCCAACAGCAATATTGGCAAGCCACCGAGAAAGTCTGTCGGTCCAGGAGTCTTTGATTCTAGCGATTATGGCCCTCGAGCTTCTCAGCGCCGACGGCCCAGCTTGGCATCGACCTCGGATAGGACAGTGTCTGGCTCGGCTCGGTCGTCGTTCGACGGGGGGAGTCGATATGGAGAAGGCGCGACGAGGCTGACAGCCTCAAGGGCGGCCAAGACGAAACCCGCCCAGCCTAGAATTGACACGACTGCGCCCTCCGCGGATAACAGTACCTTGACGGTAGATCAAAGCACCACGTCGATTTCGATGCCGCGATCACCTCGTGTTGGGAACAAAGGAGGTAATCCATCGTCCGCTAGCAAACGGATGTCCGTGATGCCCGGTACACATGCTTCAGGGCTGGGAGCCCGCACGATCAGCCCAACAGATACCAGGAGGATGAAAAGGATGTCAACGATGCATCACACCCGCGACACCACCGAGACAATCACCGAGCCGATGCCCACTGCGTCCATTCGATCCGTCTCGCGCTCGCCGTCTATGCTTCCCAGGAAGACGTCGACGCCTTCCTCGAACAGGACGACGCCAGACCCAAACCGAAAGTCCTATAGTTCCGGGCTTTCTGTAGGGTCGACAAACAGTTTTAACACGGTGCGCACATCGACTGGGTCGATTCAGCCGCGTCTGCAGCAGTCGGCGACGACTTCAAGGTTGCCAGCCCCCAAGGCGCTCAGCATTCATAACACGAACCCGGCAGAAGATGACGAGGACGTTCCTCCGGTGCCTGCCATTCCCAAAGTCTACGAGTCTCCCAAGGACTCGCCTGCAGAGTTATCTTTCCTCGACAAGCGAAAATCCAACCTAGCATTTGACACGAGCAGTATACACAGCAACTCTACCGGTAGCTTGTCCGGGCATCCGGTACTTGAACCGCCGGTCAAAATTCAGCGCAACCAGAGTACCCGCAAGACCGGACAGAACGTAACCTTGGATCTGGATAAGAAGGGAAATGTCTCACAGTCCAAGAAGAACTTACAACCACTACGCCTACCCCCTATCAATATTGGACCCCTCAGCACCCCTACCGCGACCCGGATAGCGGCCTTGCAGGAAAATGGCTCGGCAGATCGCAACGCCAACAGCCCGCCGCCGGCAAGGCAGATCGCCAAAACCCCAACGACGCCGATGACGGCCTCGAAGAGCTCCTTTTTCTCGCGACATCGTCACCACGATAAAACAGAACCCATCGACCTGCGAAGCAGCTCGTCCATTCATCGCGTTCGCAACAATGATAGCCCCCTCGCTGCCGACAACAGCAGTTCGTCCGAATCCCTCGTCACTGCTACCACGAAGAGTTCACTGCAGAAACCTTCAATCTCGCCGTTCCTCTCTTCATCAGTTCCCAAGGGTGGAGCGGAGCCATCATTGATGAAGAGATCCAAGACCGGCGGCGATTTTAGCAATGTGAACGACAGCACTATAGAGCCAGTGAAACAGCAGAAGCCATCTGGGCCGCGCGCCCCGGCATCAAGACCGGTCAAGCCCGTGGAGACAAAGAGCACCGAAAAGACCCCGGCACCATTGTCCAGCCCAGAAGAACCTCCCACGCCCTCCTCAATTAGCTCTCTGAGGCGTAAGCTGAGCATGTCTTGGAAGAGGGGCGGCTCTAAGCCTAGTCTCAGTCTTCCCGCCGGGAGCGTGCCGGAGAAGTCAACGGAGCAGCAGAGCCAAAGGCAAGACAACATGCCCCCACCACGTATCCCCATTTCGTCCACGGTGAACGCACTGAGCACCAACACAGCCGGTGCTTCAACCAACTCCAAGCCAACGACCAACTATCTCGATTCAAGGAGGAGAAAGAGCTCGGCCTCGAGTCTGAATGCAATCGTGGCCCAGGACAGGGCTCGGAATGATAGCTGGAATCCTGATCGTCACCACAAGAAGGACTCTAACGGCGACTCAACGGCGGATCGGTCCGTCCTGTCGCACAATTCGTCTGTCATGCAGAAGATCCTCAAGCCCAAGGCATCTACGAGTACAATTCGGCATCACGACGTTTGGAGTTCGGAACTGGACAAGGACGATCTTCTAGCCGAAGAAGAGATGAGGAAACTGGCAATGAGGCGCAAGGAGACGGAGCTCGCGGCAAGGACTCTGGACGCGTTGCGCAAAAGAGCGTCACCAAAGGAGCGTGTCAGCGCTCAAGACGCCATCCGTATCGCTATGCTCAACATCTACGAGCGAGGCGAGATCGTCGACTACAACGACATCTACTTTTGCGGTACCCAGAACGCGGCCAAGGTGGTTGGAGATCTCAACTCGGACGTTCCTAACTTTGGCTACGATGACGAGCGCGGAGACTACACGATCATTCCTGGCGATCACTTGGCGTACAGGTATGAGATCATCGACGTTCTGGGCAAGGGAAGCTTTGGCCAGGTGGTGCGCTGCATAGACCACAAGACAGGCGTGCTTGTCGCGGTCAAGATCATCCGCAACAAGAAGAGGTTCCATCAGCAAGCTCTTGTCGAAGTCAACATTCTGCAAAAGCTTCGCGAATGGGTAAGTCGTTGCTGCATATCTACCATCATATTTCTTTTTGCTAACACGGGCATGCAGGACCCGAAAAACAAGCACAGCATGGTCAACTTTACCCACAGCTTCTACTTCCGTGGACATCTTTGTATCTCGACCGAGCTCCTGGATATGAACCTCTACGAGTTCATCAAGTCCAACGCCTTCCGTGGCTTCTCGCTCAAACTCATCCGGCGCATGACCAAGCAGATGCTTAGCTCGCTCAACCTTTTGAAGCAACACAAGGTCATCCACTGCGATCTCAAGCCCGAAAACATCCTCCTCCGGCACCCGATGCATTCCGAGATCAAGGTCATCGACTTCGGCTCCTCATGTTTCGAAAACGAGAAGGTCTATACGTACATTCAGTCGCGCTTCTACCGCTCCCCAGAGGTCATCCTCGGCATGACCTACGGTATGCCCATCGACATGTGGAGTCTGGGATGCATTCTCGCCGAGCTGTACACGGGCGTCCCCATTTTCCCCGGAGAGAACGAGCAGGAGCAGCTCGCCTGCATCATGGAGGTGTTTGGCCCGCCCGAGAAGCACCTCATCGAGAAGTCGACCCGCAAGAAGCTCTTCTTCGACTCGATGGGCAAGCCCCGTCTCACGGTGTCGTCCAAGGGCAGGAGGCGCCGCCCGTCGTCCAAGACGCTGCAGCAGGTCATCAAGTGCGACGACGAGGCCTTCCTCGACTTCTTGGCCAGGTGCCTCCGCTGGGACCCGGACAGGCGCATCAAGCCCGACGAGGCGATCCGGCACGAGTTCATCACGGGCCAGAAGACGAGCGTGCCGATCCCGTCGGCGCTGCAGCAGCACGACGCCGCCCAGCGCCGGGGGTCGCCCATCAAGCGCCACAACACCGTCTCGGCGCCGAGGCCGCTGCCGGAACCGCCCGGCGGAGGCGTAGGCAGCTTCAAGGGCAGCGTGCAGCTGCAGCAGCCGCGCGGGAGCCCGCACAAGGCCGTCGCGGGCATGGGCCTGCCGCCGCCGCTGTCGACGTCGTCGTCGCGCCGCGTCTCGGCCGTTGGCAGCGTGGGCAAGCGGACGAGCACGGGGGCGGGGCTCGCTGGCGGCGGCGGCGGCGGCATACCGATGAGCGCGAGCAGCAACCTGCCCCGCGTGGCGAACCGGTCCGTTAGCGTCAGGCAGGCGGATCTCGCGGCTGCGGGGGCGACGGTGGCGATGAGTAAGCGTGCGTGATGACGGATTTGATTTGCGTGGGGGGATGATGATGATGAGTTGGGAGGGAGGGGAAGCGAGGATGGGTGAGGGGGGCTACGTTGCCAATGCCGCCACAGGAGTGAGTGAGAGTGAGCGAGAAGAGCTGGACTAGTTATGAATGGGGGGAGGGGGAAAGGACTCGAAAAAGTCGGTGGAAGTGAGACTATCATAGGAGGGAGAGGGGAGTGTGAAGTCCATTTGTTTATTCTTGTATGATTGAAACGAAAGAAAAAGAGATGGCATCGCGAAAGGCATAACACACGACATCCAGCTTTTTTTTTCTTCTCTCTCCCAACAACAACCCAGGCAAAAGCATTCACGGGGACCGACTTACTCACGACAGAAACAAAAACGACCACCTGTGACGAAATATTCTCGATGCGGTTTCTTGGCTATACGGGGTCTGTTGCGGTGTTCTTGCATGCCCTGGACGTGAGGGGGGGGAGGAGGTCTTGGGTGTTGACCACGACGTTGCTTTTCTGAACACCTTTTTTTTTCGGTTATTGGGGGATGATGATTGAGGGAGAGCATCGCGCAAAACACACACACACACAAAGAGATACCACCGGCAACGCCAGCAAGCAAAGTCAAGCATTGCGGCCTTGTCACGTTTCTAGAGCACTGAAATATGAAAAGATGCAGCTTTTTTGCCCCCCAACTTCTCCTTCCTCCTCTGTTCTATTGATCTATCCCGTCTTCGTTTGTGCGCGTCTCGGCCAGCGGATGGCCTTTTTTTTCTTTCTGTATTACTCGGGATTTCCCACGCATCGAGGTGATAGAGGACGGGCTGGCCGGCTTGGAAAGGGGTGGGAGGATGTTCGAAGGGAGCTCGGATAGTTCTCGGGCTAGAGGGAAACTATAGAAGGAGTCTCTTTTTGTCCATTTGACCTGTTCATTAGGGCCCTTCAAACGTCACGTATGTACACTTTCATAGGTGGCTTTCCTCATCATGGTCGTAAAGATGTATGCTCGCGAGGATCGAGGAGAAGGGAGCAAGGACGAGCGAGAGCAAGGAGACAAGACGAGAAGGGGGGTCGAGGAGGTACCTGTTCCCTTGACACAGAACAGACCCGGACACCCAAGCAAGAGAGGCAAGAGAAGAGCAACAGTCATTGAACGCAGACCACCCAGACTGCGCCCTCTGCTGCAGCATTGCATCACCAGGTCACCCGACTCCTTCCCCCCCAAACGTCCCACGGCCGAGAAGGTAAAGGCTGCCTTGTCGGGAAAAGGCCGAGCCAAGCAGGCTCCAGGTGCGACCATATCACTCTCTGCTCCGAGACGGGCTCCGGGAGCATGTGTGCTGGGGCGCGCGATGAAACATGAGTCCCAAGATAGTATCCGACTCTAGTCCCTCCGGCGTCCGGGCCAGCATGACGGCATGAGGAGGCGAAGAAGCGCCTACATCACACGGACGGCTGCAGGCGCGGACGAACCTGTGGAAAGGACAGAGGTCCAAAGAAAGAAAAAAAGATTATGAGAACTGACAGTCATACTTGCTTCCGTGGTTTGGGATTCTCTCTCGCGCCTCGCGGGCCCCCCCATCGTCTCCTCCAGACGCAGTCATGGCTTACACCTACCGTTGGTTGAGTGGCAATTATGGCGAGACCCTCCTCACCTCAGCTCATCCGGGCTGGGGGCCCCAATACAACTCTCCCCAGGCAACTAGTGACCCCTGCACAGCCATCATTTGATCGAGTCGAGCCCGTTTTGAGACAGGAACGGCAGACCGGTGAGAGATTCTTGTGAAGAGACCGGTTGAAAGCCAACGGGTGGTCATCATGGGGGTGGCAAGAAAAAAAAGGTAGTTCGATAAAGAACAGGTCACAAGGATAAGCGGCGTGCGGTGGTGCGACTACACCATGCAGGAATGACAGGCGGCGAGACATCAGAAGGGACAGAGAGTATATCGAAAAAAGGAAGATGTAGCTGCCAGATGGGACTAGGCCCCCCTGGCGTTCCCAGTACCCGAGTTGTCGGTACACAGGAATCTGACGAGACGATTGTCTCGGTAGAGGAGGGGGAGTGTGCGTGTACCTGTCAGATTTGCGATGTGCGTCGTAGGACGACATGGAGTGGTGTGTCGTACCGCCTGCATGGAAAGAGACGAGGAAAACGGCCCAGCTCTCCCTAGGGCTGAGCCGAGCATGTCAGCCGGCGAATGAGACTGCAGCGCACAGAAAAAAGGCCTAGCCAGTCGCAGTCTTGGCAGATCGCAGATGTGAAACAAACGTTGAATATCTTCAGCCCCGAGACATCGGCAAGGTGGCCGTGATGCCCATACTCGCCGTTCGAGACCCTCACGCTGCCTAGTCGCACAGGCGAGAAGCCGAACAGGGCTCGCCATCGTAGGCTTGCGTAGGCTTTTGTGCCTCCTGTGCCGCCGAGACACAAGCAGGGCAGGCAGGGCAGGCAGGGCCCTTCTGCCTTCTTTTCGGTGAGTTCTGTGTAACAACAATACCACCTCTGCCCAAGGTGCCTATTACACTCGTCCAAGATCCCGCGACTGGATCTCACGCCAGCGGAATCGGACCGTGATGACACTGGATGTAGAGGGCGAGAAATTAGCGCGCGCGCGCGGCGCCAGGGGAAGCCGGAGCAGTTCCCGGACGGCACGCAGCTCCGGGACGTATCTTGGGCAAGGATGAGGGGTGTGAGAAGAGGAAAGGTTCTTCAAAGAGTGGCCTCCGATAGACTCTCTGGGTGGTTGAGTCATCATGTTGTGTCTCCTTGGTCTGTCCTCGAAGAACAAACAGAGATTGATGGGAGATTCCGATAACTGGGTTTGATCTAGACCTTTGCTTACCTGGTACTGGCTGGCAAGGAGAGAGGCAATGTAGCTCGCCGTCGCAGTCATTGTCTTCCGCCAAGAAATAAGCGGCGGATCAAAATCAAGGAAAGCGTACCTCGTCAGGAGATGTTCCATAGATTTCATGGACGGCGGTGCTCAGGAGAAAGGCGACGCAAGGCGTACAGATTTCGGTAGACAGCTAGTTTCCGCTTGGTGCGATATATTGTCGACTTCGGTCAACAAGCGAGAGGTGCATTGCGGCCGACCTCATGATCGTTCCAAGTCCCTCTGGACCATCATGTCGAGTTGCACCATTGAGAAATGCGCCTGCCTAGAGTTCATGCATTAGCGCCACGGGCCTTTAGCAACTTCTACTAACCCTCCAGCAGTTTGAAAGAACCAGAAGGCTATTCCACTCCCGGGTTAGTGAGGTCATGCTTGGCTGCTGGATTCGGCGACTGTTGCCAGTGTGAGCGGCGAGTCCGGGGCGGTGGAGCTGGCAGCTCGTACTTGGGGGCTAGAAAAACACCGGCTGACAGGAGCCACGGACATGCGCCATTGGCCAGGAACCAAGGCTTGAGGCGCAGATGAAGCGGTCTGCATCATGAAATCATGTCCGTCAAGTTGAGTGTTTCATCTGGCCCGGTTTGCACTGGGTCGTCCTGCAGCATCCTGGAAAGGCGATTGTGGTGATTCTTCATCGAACAAACCGACCATCCAATAGCTCTTCGGAAGCTAAAATAAGTCGTTGTGAGGCTTGTTGTTCATCATGGCAGCCAAGCCATTGATTGGACGCAGTCCGAGACAACTGGCCACCCACCCCGCATCCCGATTGACTTGTCTCAGGTCGGCCCTGGACGGGTAGACTAAAGTAGTGGTCCATATGGTCGCAGGTGGGGGTTTCTCAGGGCAAGATATCATCCATCGCGGAGCTCGGCTCAGGTAGCTAGATGAGATGCAAAGGCCATACCGCTAACGGATAATCATGATGAAGTGTGTTTCTAAAGTTGGGATTGCTGTGGAGTTGAACTAGTCAGATTGGGCCCGGGTATCACCCGTGTAAGAGAGAGGCTAATAAGCTGTCCGTATCAAGATTCGCCCAGGATCAGGACTTCAGAGGCCTCACTAGCTTCGGTTTTGAACTCTGTTCCTGGAATTGCGCTTTCAGCCCTGGGGACATTCAAGGAACCACATATGCCATGTGGAGGAACGATGCGACGAACCGAATGAGTAAACCGAATCCGAGCAGTGGTGTACCAATATCGATGTGTCAGCCACAGAAGCCCCAAGTGGCTGGGAGCGACTGCACACCACCGGTGCGTCAAACATACCAGTCTGAAGAATTGATTCAAGTGAATGATCAACAGCCAGATTTCAGGGTGCCACGGAAATCCGAATGCGACCATCTCCGATCGAGTTCCAGTCATCTGGAAGAGGTGGTGCGCCACAGCGATCAGGCACTGTCGCGGGGTGAGGCTTGTAACATGGACAAGTATTCGTACTTGAAGGGACCACCTCGATTTTGACACTACTGCAGGACGTTGCCCTGTCATGATGGCCATTGGTTGCTGCTGCTGGTAATGGCCTCGGCAGTCGACCTTTTCGTGGGCAACAGTGATCGGCGAGCTGCATGCCGGTAGCCTCTAGCAGAACGAGGCTCCCCAGGCATCACTCAAAGGGAGGGTGCGCAATTGCTCGCCAATTGATCGGAACTAACCATCGTGAAATGTCTTGACAGGCATCCCTGGCAGGTGAAGGATGCCTCATAGGAATGCCAGCTACCTTTTTGTTGCAAGATTGGCACGACTGTGCCTGTGATGGCATGCGCTCGAGGAACTATCTATGAGACTGACACGTCGAGACCCCATCTGCACCAAATCCCAGGATTTCGAGCTGCTGCAAGGTACCAGTGTTGCCAAGAACGGAGACGTTGAAATATCGTGAATGTTTGGAGAGGGTGGGCATCTGATCAGTCGCAGAGGTGCAGACAATGTGGTTGGTGCCCGTTCCCCGGAACGAGCACGAGAGTTCTGATTCGACAGAGGCTCGTGGGGTGCGTACGATGGCCAATAATGCGGCCACAGGATCGGCCAGGGATCTCGACCTGGGCTGACGCATTCGGCGTTAGCCATGGGACCGGGGCAGCACAGCCTTACGCCGTCGCTCGATTAGGGCCTAGGGAGGCACTAGGAGATGAGGCATGGGACCCGGCTGCATTCAATCCTTTTGAGGAGAGTTGTCGTGTCGATAGCGTCAAGAATTGAGGCCAACTCTCGCGAAAAGGAAAGACTATGTTTCAGACCAGGGCCTGGTGATTGGTTGATTACCGCGCAACCCAAATCTGGTTTGGGGTATGTCGTTTACTTCGTAGATCTGTACCGATTTGCGCCCAAAGCTGGAAGCGTTTGTTTCTTATTTTGTTTTTTCTCTGTGACAGGATCAATAGTAACATGGGATCTAGTGTCGATAGTAGTGGATGGGATGATGGGCCAATTCGCTGCAGTAGGAAGGCGGCCAGAGAGGATCTGTTTGTGGCAGGCAGGCAGGCAGGCAGGCAGACATGCAGCTTCGATTGATGCTGGCATTGCGTCCCGTAGCTTCCTTCGGCTGGGTGTGTCCTGGAGGAGGGAGGAACAATCACTGGCCCGCGTGGCTGCCTTAGCTGGCACTTCGTACGTCTATTCTATCAATTCCAGATCAATGATCAAGTAATCGACATCATCCCGAGTTCTTGGATTGAAAGCGCTTACAGGGTCCAACTCACCAACGCGAGTGATGAAAGTTAGCTTTGAGGATTTGATATCTTTGCTGCCATGCGTCATGCTACTAGCTCCGTGCTCTTTGGTTCCCAGACAAGACATCAGGTCTCACATATCGGCGCGCTCTTCGACAATCCTCGCCGTATTGTGTGCTTCCATATCCATCCCAGCACTACACTCCCCACAGCTTTTCTATCCTTTTCTTATTCCTTCCGAGGCGATCAGGCATGGCCCCATTGACAAGCGCTGATGACGAAGCTAACAACCACTAACGGAAGCCCGCTGGCTCTGACTGGTCCGGTACTTGACAAGGATGTCGGCAGACCTGCCTCGCGCGGTCAATGCCTTGGAAAAGGTACTTGTCCATACGAATTCCCTTCCATGTTCCTCCATTTTCATGTGGCTGATTCCCGACCCAGCATTCCCGTCAGGTCCTCGCTCCTCGGGTGGGATAGCACGGAGGGCAGCAGCCCCTGCATGGCAAGCTGCGCTTGATTCTCCGTCTATTCCCAACTCAGGACGGCCGCCGTAGCCTGTCCGCTTCCTTTGTTCCCACAATACGACAGACGCAACGTCATCTCGTCATGCCGTGACGCCGAGTCCTCGTCTTAGAATAGACCTCCGATGTTGCCGCTGCCGCTGCTCCTTGCCTGTCTGCGGTGGGTCGCCGTCTTCTAGCAGCGCTGTACTCGCCGAGACTCGTGGATGTCAGAGAAGAAAAGCTGAAGTTGCACGCACACTGGACCTGCCGTCAGTGTCGCATATAGCATCTGCTGCAAGCTATGATGCACGATCAGGGCATTCCCATAAGCTGTTTGTTGCCATATACGGAAAAGGCTGTCCAGCGGCCTGACTCTTGATCCGAGGTGGGCACTCTGTGACTCCGTTGGGTGGCTTGGAGTCCCGGACAGCGCTTCCTCCACGACACAAAGATGTGTCCGAAGATGCCGTGCCACTCACAGATGGGTCCTCGCGGTGAGGCTGGTGACCAGGTCCCTGCCTGGCCAGCCGATCACATCCGGCGCTCTAGCCTGAACAAGCACCCGGCCATGCGAATTGGTCCAGTTTCCCATCTGCAAGATGCAAGGCCGCCAGAATTTAGAACACCCACCACAGCACCTGCGCCCCGCCCACCCTTGGCCTTATTTAGCGAACTTCGTTTATCGAACAAACACAGGCTGGGCACGACGACGGACAGAGGAAATACAGGACACATGCACACCACCCGCATGCACGTCCACATTGATCTCCCATCGTCGACACACCCAGATTGGGAATCTCGGTACTTTTCCTGCTCGCACACCCTCACCCCTCGCACCGCATATTCCCCCCCCTCCGCACACTCCCCCCATCCGCGCGCAGAGAGCCCACCGCACGCACGGCGGGCGTACCTACTTTCCAAACCTGCCTCTGAGACCTACTGCTGTAGGTACTACTCGACCTGCTTGTACCTGTGCAAAGCAGGTACCCTTGCACCCCTGCACCCTGGATCGACCCATCGACCCTCTCCAGCGGTTCCCTTGTCATTCTGTTTGTCTTACATGCGCACTCGCTCGTTTCGCTCGGCATCCACACCACACAAAGACGCCCACAACCCACTGTAAGGTAGGAGGGTAGGTACCTGCTCCGTACCCTTTGCCTTTGCTGCATAGTCGACACATCCGGACGACTGCGCCCGCATCCCAGCATCTCGTCCGGCCAGGTCCAGGTATTGCAGTCTGGAAGCTCGGTACTGGGCTCCCAGGCAGGACCTGCCCCTGCGCCCACCTGCACAGCGTCTTGCATTAGCTGCATACACAAGAGCATGCGGCCTTGGCCTAGCTTAACAGTCATCCGTCAGATTTGGCGTCACTGCCTAGGCTACCTTCCTGCCTCAACTTGGATACCTCAATGTCCGCCCATGGTCCGCTAAACCTCATGACAAAACCGTCTTCTTGCCTAGCGTCATATGGCAATGGCCATGCCAGGCTCCCAAAGGTTATAAGGCTACGATGCCTGCTCTCTATTCCCTTTCTGTCATGAGTCCACCTCCTCTCCATCTCCAACTACTCACGGGCCTACTCAGCCATAGGTGACCAGTCTTCACTTATCTTGTTAGGCCTTGCTTCTTTCCTTCTCGTCTTCTCGCTTGCCCTTGCTTTGTTGGCTGTGCTGCTTTTGTTATCTGGTTTTAAAACCCCAGACTCCCTTGCTTGTCCCGAAACATAATCCCCGTTCAACATCTTCCATACCATTGCCGCCTTCTCTCCTCGTGCCGGGATATTGACGTGCTGCTATCGACTCAAGGGTATTCAGACACCAACCCTGCCATCTGACACCCGCATGAAAAGCACGGCAACTCTCCTTGAACCTCCGTCACCTCTTCCACAAGCACAATGTGTTACCAGGTAGTCGAGCTGTACTCGGCCTGCAAGTGCCTCTACTACCAGCACGCCGTTGACCGTTGCGCCTCGTTTGGCCGGCCAGGTCATCGTATCCAGCAAAGAACCATATATGTCGGGTACGCTTGCAGCATACACGCACCGCCCAGCAGAGGTGGCTACTCGAACTACCAGGCATATTCAGACTCTGGTTACTCAAGTGGCCACTCCCACAAGAAGTCACATCAGCACTACCGGTGAAAAGTGTCGTCTCCGATGATGGGTTGCTGCTCGTGGCACTCGCCGCCGTTGGATCAGTTCCAGTTCGGTCACTGGGTCACCTTCCTCTACTCTTTCAGAATACCGCCTTCATCACTCGCGCTGCCACCTTCACAGCTCTCTTACTTATTCGTGGGTTACGACCGTCTGGGCTCGACCTCGAGGCCTACCCCAGGGTTGATATCACCCAGCGGGCCAGGTCTCTAATGGAGGCTATCCCGTCCGAACGGCTCGCAGCAAGGCTATCATCAGAGACAGGGGGCGAGTTAGCAGGCGCCACCGAACAGCAAAATGAGGCACGTGCTCTGTTCGGAAGCAGGCTGTTCTCTTCGCCTGCGCACGCGCCTGTCACAACTCTAGATGTCTCCTTCGCATCTTTTTAACGGGGCAACGAACGAATGGATTTCTTAATGAACGGACGATTACTCGGCAGTTCGGGGTGGCTTTTCATCGCATACGGCATACGGAGCATAGCGTGGGCACCGGACCCTGCATAAAAAACCAGCATGTTAGACACGATTCTTTCGGGTCTCGAGAATCGCAAGATTCGAGGTCCCTCGCCGAAACGATTCATGTCCTTGGCTTCTTTCTACTGTTTCTTTGGACAGTTGTACGGATTATGGGACTTGCATATGGGAATTGGACGATACCAGGCGTTATTTTGTTCTTGGGACGACGAGCACATGCGGCGTCGGATTGTGTCCAGCCTCAGTTGGGCTGGACACTGGGCTAATTTGGGGTATCTATGCGAAGAAGGGATTCTTTGGCAGGCGTTTTAGGATTTCTTCAGTTCTGGCCCGTGTGGTCTGGGGCTGGCTGTTCTGTTTTTCTACCCTCTACTCCTTGTTCTGCATATCTTTCTTGTTCTGGATTTCTTTTCATTTGGTCGCCACGCGCAATATCGGGTAACAATGTTACTCTCTAATCCCTGCTCTGGCAGCAGCAGCAGTATACAGGCGATGCTGTGGATTGAAGCGGCCTGGCGCCGTCGACGGAACGAGAAGAAGCTGGCCTATTACCCTCTCACCCGCCCCTTATGGCCTCTTAGCAACTTTTTGTACCACAGTTTCTTGTTGACAGTCTTCGCCCGAGTTCAAGCCAGCGGGACTGGTGTGTTACGATGGCATGGGCCCTGCGCCCCTGGTGGCTTATCGTAAAGGGATGAACGAATAACAAGGAAATGGGGCAGACAGAGTCGTGTCCTGTAACATCAATTTGAGAGTTTGTCAATGAAAAGAGAGATATTCTGTCAACATGCATTCGAAACTTCCTCCCGTGATTGGCCATGCCTTGATTCCTGCAGCATAAAATGCGCCGCAAGGTCGCCGCTAGGCACCCGAAGCTAAACTCCTGCCATGAGGCGATGAACCACCAAACACACGGGCTTAACCCTGGTCGCAAGTCGGATGAGGACCGGGCCTACTGGCCAGACCTCTCTGGTAGTAGTCTGGGGCTGGTTGGTCGTTGAAGGATCACTACAGCCAAGACTTTGCCGACAGGCCGAACTTGGTAATGGAATCGGTAGCGGGCTTAAGCAGAACATGGCGGTGGTGTGGCTAAATTTGGTCACCGTAAACAACGCAGCCGTTTCGGACCTCATACTCTATGTGTGCCATGTACTTTAAGCGCCCGGACTTGGAGGAGGTTCAATGACGAGAGGCCGAAAAGGGGGCGCGAACCTGGGCCTCGGCGTCGGTCTCTCGTCAAATCACCGCGCTCGCCTGCCCCGAGTCCAGAGTCGGTGATGGCGCGGCGGGTTTGTGGGGGCCAAGCACAGCCTTGCCGGGAAGTCCACCTGTCAGCAACGATCCGACCATTGGGGGGGTGGATGGGTGGGAAAGGCCAACACGGATGGTTTGTGAGGCGAGCACTGTACATTCTGCTACATGACGAGGGGAAACAAGAAAAGAAGGCAAAACGGATGGGTGAGAGATGAATGGGAACAATGGCCCGAGGTCGATGTCCTGAATACCTACTGCATGTAACTGACCTAACCTCGGTGTGGTGGGCATTCGATATGCAGACAGGCACTGCAGAGTAAGACATCGAACTTTCTCTCTCGCCTGTGTGCGTCTTGAACAGCCGGGGGTTCGCCGCATGCGGCACGGCAACGACTGACCTGCCTCGCCTTGCCACTGTACAAGCTGAAGCCTCGGCCTTTAGGACCTAGCCTAAGCTGCTGTTTGTGTTCCTCGAGGAAGCCTTGTATTGCGACAAAATCAACCTTGGCGAGAATTAACACACACTCTACTGCAATCTGACCAACAAACCTCTTGTTGGTGTAGGTATATAACATGTCAGATCTCAAAAAATTCCCAATGGCAGAGCCACGAGACCCAAGGAACTGGGAACTGTGCCCGGGGCAGACCAATATAGGATAGGCTCCTTCCCGTCTTGACCTGGCCTAACCGGGATGATGACGACTTATCATACCCAAAAGAACCTTGATAACTCTGACCAGACCAGGGGGGGTTTTGCATGGCAAACCACACATTGTCAGTCGGTCAGCTTGTCGCACACGCCCACATGTCTGAGTCTCACACCTTGCAGGGTTTCGGTCGCAGCTAGGACGGACGGCGGTGTTACCCATCACTGTGATTCGGAGATTACGCGAACGTGCATCTTCTGTGCTGCGATGTCGTTCCATGCAAGTCACAGGGTGGTACCTAATCGGGATGCGGTTGGATCCAGCTTTCTCTCTCTCTCTCTCTCTCTCGTCTATTCTCGAAAACAGATACCCTTGTTCTTCTCCATCTTATGGGCGCTACCTATTCTCGCTTCGGGGAAGGCCCGTCTCGCCGGTACCATGGCCGGAAAGGGTAATACGTAGCGTGGGGCTGACTTTTTGATTACGCCTGTGGTTTTTTTGTGTCCCATAAGCACAGCGTGCCATAGGGCCGGTTATGCTACGATGATTCGATAAGAACAATCTCTTTTATAGAACAAGCTACTGGGAAAGACTGAGATGGGGGGGAGGGCTGTGCTGGCGGATACTGCCGTCGTTGAGAGAAGTGCCGTCGGGCGATTCTCATTGGTATCTGTTTATATCTGCTCGCCCGGGAAAAGACCAGCCTGTAGCCCGTTTGAGTAATAACAATCGAGGGAATGCCGCAGTGCTGACTCGTATATTCAAGGGGAGGGAACGGATATGTTATAGGTCTTTGTGGAGTCATATCGCTGCGGAAGAGAGCGCCTTCTTCATTTTTCAAAATGATACGACGAAGTTTAGAACTGACAACAACAGACAAGATACCAACGATCTCTTGCCACTTTCTTTAGTGTACGGCGTACGGCGTGAGGCGCCAGTTTTCCTGTCAAAGTTTCACTTGGCGCACCACCAAGTGTTAGTGGCCTCCCCCCGCTTCGGGGGCCGCATGAAAAAGCAGTGGCACCAAAGCCAAAACACCCCTCTCTTCTCCAATGAACGGGCCAGCCCGTCCGGCGGAACCCGGGGTGCGGACCTCGCAGAGCGCGTGACTCCGAGTGGGCAGGGAAGGGCCCCCGGCTTGACCGGAGCCTCGTTTGATTACTGAGCAAAAGGGAAAAGGAGGTCGACACGGGGCAGGTGCGTGCTACAGTGCTACAGGGCCGCGAAACGGGCCAGTGGCCAATGAGTAAGAGTTGGAATTCCAAAAAGAGGGAAAAGACAGGATGATGGGGCGAAATCCATTTGTTGTTGCCCGTCCGGGGTTTATTGGGCGATATCTATCTAAACGCCATGCCTGCCTGACACGACGTAAGCCGGTCTCTAGAAGTCCGCTGCCTCCGGGCAGTCAGGCCCAGAACACCCCGTCGGCGACGTTACGTGATGCCCGACTTTCATCAGAGAAGACGAGTCGATTAATAACGAGGGTATGCCTTGACTGGACTCGCGACGTGGAATGCGATCCTTCCTCGATGCGAGCCCGCGCGGAAGAGCTGGGTACTTTGATCAAAGGTCACATTCTACAGCCTGTACATGCGATGGATGGCTCCTCCTCCCGGAAGGAAGGCAGGGAGCTATGCACACCATACAAGGTTCTGAGGTGTGAAGTCTGGAAAAGCTGCCTGCGACTCGTAAGTTTTTGTCGGCAGTCGGTTTCTGCTCGCCGTCCCCCCTCTCGCGTCTTCGTTGCCGTCACCAGTCGATCGACTCGGACGAGGTGACGACGAGAGTGTACGGGCGAAGGACCGTCAGACCCCCCCTCGGTGATGTCCTCCCCTCTGTCCATGTGCCAGGCTGGGAGGATCTGCGAGCCCCGAAAAAGCTTGGCGGATCCTCCGAGATTGTTACGTGCTCCGAAGATGGACTAGTAGGTGGCGAGAGCTCTTCCATCGCGTCTGTCTTGCTTGATGGTCCAGTGGTCACTGCCACGACTGGGACGAAAACTACCCAAAAGAGAATCCTTCGTATAGTCACGGGGACGGCGGGTACTGTTCTTGTGGTGGTCGTCTTTTTTTCCTTCTTTCTTACCGCCTCCCGGGGCATCCGTAGGATCCTTCTGGGGCCGGCCCGCGGTTCGGTCCCGCCCCGTGGCCTCCGGCGCCCAAGCCTGATTTGCTTGGTAAGGCCGGTTGCCAGGTAGACTTGCGGATCTGCACTAGGTAGGGACAAGCACCCAGGGTACGAATTGCACAGATCTAGAAAACAAGATTCTGGACCCGATGCTTACGCATTTCAGCCAGGCAAAGACTATCAGAGTTCTCCTTCGTGGCTCCTGAAGTAAAGCAGGTTGTTGACCAAGTTTCACCTCGGAAGGTCAGCGGATTACTAAGGTTCAAGGTTGAGTTATGACCTTCAAGGCTGCTGTTGAATCGGGCTCTCCGCAACTGTCCAGGGGTCCCTAGCGGGGAAGCTTAGGCGGGCTCAGAAGCTAAACATAGCGGTGATGATAGAAGCGTTCCAGTGGAAGTACCTACCCCACCACCCATAAACCCTGTCAAGTGGGCGTGCGTCTGAATAGTTGACGGAAGTTCATCAGGAGCTACCTCGATCTTAACAATCAATATCCTTGTCACATCCTTGCCTTGGAACTCGGAAGGGCTATCCCACCACCTAAATCCGATGGTCTTGATGGGTAGACAACTATTTCTGTTAGCAGTCCGGCAACTAATCTGCCCCTCACTTGCCTGTGCAAGGCAAGTATGGCTGTTAAAGTGCTGGTCCAAGCGTCGCGGGGTCTGCAAAAGCAAAGACGCGTCCAATGACACGCGCTTGCCTCGTCTCTGATCGCCTGGCAGCCGCACTCTGCGGTTGCCGTTCGCAACAGACAACTCGCAACCAGCAGCCTGACTCGACTTGAAGTACGGGCCAGACATATCATTGTCCTCGCGCTGACTTCAGGCTACACACCATGGCGGGGAGGCTCGTTCCGCAAAAGCGGGAAGGGACGATGGGGGACAGGGACAAGGACGGGAGACCTTCGAAAATGGCCAGGTATATCGAGAAAGGCCTGCAGCTCTACCACGAGCAAGGATACGACACCGCAGAAAAGAGTTTTCGGAAAGTATGTACTCATTCATGATGCCCAAATCGGGACAGGATTTGTATGATAAGAAAACGACAGGCCCGCTGACGTAAACCAGGCTCTTTGGAGGTGCAAATGCAACCAGACCCAGTACGACCAGCTTGTTGCCCATGGCATCGATGTCGGTACGATGGAGAGCGCAGTGACCGCTTGTGGTTGTCGCGACTATCGACCAAGTTCCCAGTCGTATATTGGATACTGTGCAGCTCCGGTGGACCGGCAACGAGGTTATCTAGGAGTGTATGCCCTCGACTTGAACTCTTTTCGACAACTGCTTCTGAAACCTTGCACTTGCGGCTCGGGTCAGAAGCAATGCCCAGAGAAAGAGCACCTTGATGCCTTGGACGGCCTTGCTGCCACGTACACTGCCCTGCAAGATCTCGACCAGGCACTGGAGTGTGCGTCGCAGATGATCACGGTTGCTCCGTCACGCCCAGATGTAAGACGAAGAAGGCACCTTCTGAACCCCCAAATCTACCTCAATCTCCAGAAAGAATGCTGATATTGTGGATAGGGTTACCTTCGTTATGCGAAAGCCCTGCGGGTTCTCAAACCAACTGACCGGTTCTCCCCTGCGGCCATGTTCAAGCAATGTTTGCACGTGGCTAACGATGCAGACGCCAAGCATGTCCAGGTATGTCGCCAAAACATCCATGGCGCCATGTAGTTCACTCTCCACGGAATTGGGAAGTAATATCTCTGACCGTCAGCAGATCGTACAGAAAAATCTGGCCACGCTCCTTCGCTTCGATCTCATTAGCCATCTTCCCGTGGAGCTACAAATACAAGTCATAAGCGAGTTGTCTGTGACGGATCTCAGGTAAATCACACTCCGTAGACCTGCCTTGCTGAGACAGGACCGCGTAGTCTTGGTGCTGATGTCTATTGTCCTATAACGCAGCGTTCTGAGACGCGTTTCGAAGACGTGGAGGACCATGCTTCTCTCGGGCCTGCATTACAAAACCCTCGATTTTGTCAAGGGCATGAATCCGCCTTTCAAAGCGCTCACGAGCCTGATCCATCATTCTCATCAATATACAGAGAAGTTATGCATTCGACATTGTTCCTCCTTCAGACTCGACACCAGGAAGCTGGCTCTCCTCCTCGACAACCTTCCATTTTTAAAAGTGGTCGATCTCGCAAATCCCTTTCCAGACTGGAAAGGCTCCGCGACACTATCGTACGAACCTAGTTATTTGTCTCGTCGTAACGAGGCTCTCTCCAGGGTCCATACCCTGCGGCTAGAGAATGTCGTCGACAACAACGAAATCTTGGCAGGCCAGCTGTTGAAAGCAGTGGCGGGCTCTCTGACAGAGCTCCACTTGATTGGCATACCAGCAGACGGTCCCGGAGCCTCTATTACTGTTCTACCCGACTTGCCTTCTCTCACTCGGCTGAAGCTGGTCCCAGGACCGGACCTGCCGGCCGGTGCCGTGAGGGAGGACGCGAGACCAATTGTGCCCATGGCGAGTTCTCCAACGATATGTCCAGATGGTCAATCAACTAACGATACTGGGTAGGATTTTCTGATTAGAAGGACCCCCTCCCTAAAGCAACTCCTGATCGATAGGTGCCGACCTCGGCGGAGCAGACTTTTAGCTACAGAAACACGTCTGCAGTGGGGGCAGCTGGAAGTGCTCATTGTGGGAGATCGTGTCTCGATGTGCTCCCAAGACCCCACAGGGATTCGACCTTTCCCCTGTCTCGGTCCTAAAATGCGAGTCATCGACATCTTGTCCAGGGACGATGCTGTGAGCTTCGGAGTACTCGGCCACCAGCCAGTGCTGTACGATCCAGACCGGCCCGAGCAAGGCGGCGACGACCCAAAGCTGGACAGGCTGGAGGTGTTCCGGTGCCGCGGCAGCCTCGACCCCCGCGACATCGAGTGGTGCATCACCCCGGCCATGGACTCGGGGACGCTGCACACGCTGGAGCTCAGCGGGGACCCCGTCCCGGACGTGCCCCACCCGGTCGACTACTTCACCCACTTTGGAGACGCGAGCAGGGTGAGGACGCTCGGCCTCTACGACTTCCGCTTCGACAACGCCATGTCGTACCGCAACCCGTACACGGGCAGGCCCTTTCTCGACTGGCTCGCCCGGTTCCCCGGCGTCGAGACCGTGTCGGTCTACCCGCAGCCGTTCGACGGCGCGGCCGAGACCATCGCCGAGCTGCTCGAGCGCACGGGGCCGGCGGCGGCGACGGACGGCTCGGTGGCGGGCGCGAACCGCGTCCGGACCGTCTACCAGGACTGCCTGCAGGGCGTGCAGATGGACAAGGTGCTGGCGCTGGCGGCCGTCAAGGGCGTGAACGTCGTGCGGACCAGGGCGCCGTACCGGCCGCCCGTCTTTCCGTACCCGGATCTGCCCCCTGCCGAGGCGGAGAACTTCGTTTCTCGTCGCATTCGGGATTTCTGAGTCTGAGTCTAAGTCTGGGCTCTCTCTCTCTCTCTCTCTCTCTCTCTCTCTCTCTCTCTCTCTCTCTCTCTCTTATCTAGTCGGACAGAGAGAGAGAGAGAGAGAGACATGAAGGAAATTCACAAGGGGGGCTGGATGTGTGCGGTATAGAGGCCCATACTGCTTTGGTTGGCTGGCCTCCCTTGGGGATTTACTGCAGAGCGCTTGGCCGGCTTGCCTTGACCAGCAAGTCTGTGTGAAGTCATGGGGACGGAGCGATATACCCCTACCCCCTTTGCCTTCGCTAGGCGTTTAATGATGTTACGAATGAATGCCAAGTCAATGATAGATTTATGGTTTGTGCAGCAGCTCTGTGTCTTTAGAAATGGGGAATTGACATATATACCTATCTACAGCAAAAAAAAAAAAAAAAAAACCTTTGCCTGCATATTTATGCCAAGGAAGCCATGCAAGTGAGGTCAGATTAGTTGACGGACTGCTAACAGAAGTACTTGTCTACCCATCAAGCCCATCGGATTTAGGTGGTGGGATAGCCCTTCCGAGTTCCAAGGCAAGGATGTGTGACAAGGATATTGATTTGTTAAGATCGAGGTAGCTCCTGATGAACTTCCGTCACCTATTCAGACGCCCACTTGCCATGTGGTCATCACCCTGAACAACACCTAGAATATGTAGACACGAAGAACGTATAAGGATGAAAACAATAGTTGAATTAGGTATTCATAAAACTCGTGCACTCATGACACATCATCTCTAATGAATCCAGAAGGGTAATTTTATACTGGCCGAAACAAAAAAAACAACTCCTCCCCTCCTCCCACGCCCTGCCCGACTTCCCTCCCTGCCTTGCCCGACAACCTTTACCGATCCCACGCTGACTTATCCTATTCATGCTGAGAATCCTGTTTCCCGTAATTCTCACCCAGCCGGCACCCCGGCACCACCAGTAATCAAGCTCTCCAGCTCCCAGGGGTTGAGCGTGCTCCGCCGCCGCGACGCCGCCTTGCTCACCCTCCTCTCCCGCTTCCGCGGCTTCTCCACCTTGAGCTCCGGCTCTCCTTGATCTTCTCCACCCGTCGTCGCGACCTCCTCCTCCGCCGGCGGCGCCACCTCAGTCTCCTCAACGTTGGTGGTGCCAGCGGACTCCCGAGGCCCGCTCCTCTTCTTGACGGGATCACCAGCGATATCTTCCGCGCTGCTCCTCGCGGGCTTCTTCCCCTCAGACGCAGCGGCTGAGGTGGCCGCATCAGCAGCGCCGACGTGCTGTCGGCCGAGACGCGCCGCCCGCAGCTTGGCCCGCACACGGGCTGCGTCAGCATCGCGCTCCGAGGCTGCGAGTTTGGCGGCGATGTTGGCGGTGGTCAGGGCCGGGCTCTGCGGTACGGCCGCGGCGGCGTTAGCGGCGCGCGGAAGACGCGAGTTGACCTTGGCCGGGGAGCGGGAACGCGAGCGCGACCCGGACTCTGCGGCGGGAACCGGCGGCGGTGGCATTTCGGAGCTGGATGAGGAGGAAGACGTGGCTGCTGGAGGCTGCGCAAATGCCAGTTCCGCCGCCTCGTCCCTGGGCGCGTCGGCACTGGAAGGGGAAGCTTTGGTGGCAGACTTGGGAGGAGGAGCTGAGGGTCTTGCCGAGTGCACCGGTAGCTCCTTGCGAGCTGTCTCGTCCCGGCCGCGCGTCGTGGTGGTCGGGCGGGTAGGCCTTGTGGTTGTCCTCGTGTTGCTCGTCGCTGCCGTGGCTGTCCGTGATGACGGGCGGAGGGTTGACGCCTGTTGCCTTGGTGGAGCTGGAGCTTCTGCCTTGTCCCTGGGCGACGCATGCCTACCTTGCTGTTGTCGCTGTTTCAGCGACGCAGTGGAAGCGACCTTCTTGACAGGCTGTCTGGAAGCCGGCCGCGTCGATGGCGAAGGCTCTGTTGTTTTGGCCAGGCTGAGCTCATCCACAGACGAGCTCGAGGCAGCTGATGCCGGGCGTCGAGCATCAGCCAGAGGCATCTGGCAAGGAGGCGGAGCGGCAATCTTGGGGGGTGCTGCCGGCTCGACAGCCTTCTTCCGCTCGACAGGTGCAGGCCGCTCGGGCCTTTTCTTGTCGGCATGCGGAGGAGGCGGTGGCGGCATCTCCTGGATATTTGCGGCGGCGACCTCGGCCGTCTTCTCCTCGACGATCGTGGTGAAGTCTCCCGGCCGCCTCCGCGGCTTCTCACCCCTTGCAACAGCACTCAAGCCACCCTTGTTACCCGACGAGTAGTTATCCTTCAGCGGGCTGAGTTCGGGAGGTGGAGGCAGTGGTGACGAAGGGAGTGATGGCGGCAGCATCGTAGACTGTGCCAAGACTTGCACGTTAGGCTCGTCTCTTTCAAGCTCACCCATGTCGACATCGTCCTCAAAGATGCTAGACTCGGAGTCGCTATCCTCAAGGCCATCGTAATGCGGGGGTGCAGGCACAAGATGCAGCGAATCTGAAGGGCTGGGAGACTGCTGCATCATCTCGCTGATCTCCTCATCCTCCTGGAGAGTGGCAAGACGAGGTCCAAGGCCCTGTGAAGTCTCTGCGACGTCCTTGACGCGCACAGGACTGAGCCGTAAGCCCATCTTGAGCTCCTCCATGTTGACCGGACGTCCACTAAGTGCCATCCTACGGCGCCAACCGTCGATCAAATGCACCGCCTCCTGCCACCGGCTCTCCATCTGCTCCCAGCCAACACGGAGACGATGAATCTCCTCGTCGCGCACAACCACCTCCTCAATCGGCACAAACGAAGGATTGGTCAGGATGGTGCGCAGATGCTCCAATAGTGCGTCAACCTCGGCTGCCATCTCCTCGGGGTTCGGCCTCAGCGATACTACGTGGCCATCCCCTTCAGCGGCGCCGTCTCGGTCAGAGAAGCCGCTCATCTCCTTCAAACTCTGGGTCGTCTTCTTCACCAAAGCAACCAGTGTTTCGTTCTCCTCGCTCAGGTTTCGCGCCAGCTCGGCAAGGAACGAGTTCGTCTCCTGCCTCAGCATATCGTACTCTTCCTCTTGTTCCGGGCTCAAGTTGGTCGGCGTCGGGCTCATGTCAGCGGTCTCGTCACCGCCGATATCACCTGTCACCGTGATTGTGGTTATTCCCGGGTTCCTGCGCTCGCCCCGCGCCCTGCCGGCATCTGCGACTGCCTTCTTCAGGCCCTCAATCTGGCGGTCCCTCTTCCGTACTTCGTTGGCACAGGCCGCGCGTGTCTGAGCACAAAGTGCCTTGGCCTTAGCAGCCTCATCTTTGAGTCGGGCAGCGCCTGCCTCGGCAGCACGGAGTTGAGCGCGCAGGGACTCTTCAGCTGCTGTGCTGATGTTCAGTTTGCGCTGTGTCTCGGCGTACTTCTCTTGCAGCCGTTGCAGATCGTTGGTCTGCTTCAGAGATTCGGCGCGAACGGTGCGCAAGGTGGTAGAGAGCGATTCCCGGTGCTCAGCGTCGCGCTGTCGATTGATGTGATCGTCAGCATCGCTAGTCGCAAACAGAAGGCCAGAATCATGTATGCGCTTCTGGATTATCAAAGAATACTGTAGGGCTTACATCGCGCCGGAGGATTAGATCGTTTACCACGCTCATGACCTTGCCCATCGTGGCAGCAACATCTCCGCCTCTGCTAGGGTCCGCAAAGTCAATGCTCTGGCCATCTCGGAGCAATCCGCGGGACAAGAGCTGGTTATTGATGTACAGCGACGCCGTACGCAGGTTTTCGGTCTCGATCATCGCGGCCTGCTTGCTCTGGTCATTCCGGACTTCGGAACGGATGTGGTTGCTGGTCGTCGCGCTCGGAGCTTGGGTGGTGGCGGCTTGATTTGTTTGAATGAAAGTTTCAATTTGCAATTATTGATACACTCCCGCGCGGGACAGGTGGGGATCCGCAAAGCCAGGCTGTATGCATGCACAAGACTGATTGATACACATGGAATAACAAGGCCCCTGGGCGATATCCTTGAGTGGTTTGAGGCCGGTGCGAAAAAGTGGCATGTGTTTGTTTAGCCTGGCTCGCCTGGCCTCGTTGCTGTGGCAGCAATCGCGACCCACTCTCGCGTGGAACCTGGTCCAAGTTGGCAGTCGCGACCCAAAAAGAGACCCTTGCAAACGTGTTCCTTCCTTTTTGTTTGGATGATATGAATTAGGCATTGATAAGTAAGTCATTGCGGCCGAGCCAGCCTGCCTTCTGTTGAAGCATGCGTGCTGGTTGGCGCGCCGAAGAGTGATCCTGGGCACGAACGGCGAAGGATTGACCCCTGTGCCTCATGATGATGAGATGCACCCAGGACACTGTGGTTTGTACAGGTCAAAATATTCTAATTGAATTGTTGGTCAAGACCAGGGTATCATATGTATGCGTCTCCAAGTCGACGCTGCTGCCACCTGGTTCCTCCTCATCCGCCGATGCAGGTGCTTCACTGGCAATTGGTTTCTTTCGGTGTGGCATTTACGGACTTCGATATTGCCGATGGACTCGGCGAAGACGTAAAGACGGGTATGACCCCGACTGAGGAGACGCATCCTTCCGTCAGATTGAATGATCTTGACAGTTGAGGCGAACAAGGCAAACTAGGCTAGTTCACGTCAGCAGAGTTCCGACTGGGTATGTCGAAAAGCTAAAGGAAAGCAATCGGTTTCAGAGGTGGTTGAGAAGATTGTTTGTAATGCGGTTTCCTTCATCTTCGATCCGTGAGACCACGGTTTCCCATGGCAGCACGGCTCTCTGATGGCCCCGCGGCATCATCATGGTCAGGCGTTGAGAAGGAGCAAGGAGAAGTGATGGACTCACCCTGTATATTGCTCGTGCAAGTCATCCACCACCGAGGGACATCTATGCTCCCACACATTTGTAACTCCTCCAGTGGTAGAGTCGATCATGCCTCTGGCCTAAACTTGCCTCTCTTCTCTCTCATGGCGGCGACCTTCTTTCGGTCCTCGTCAAACTTCTTCAGCAGCTCGGCCTGCTCCGCCTTCTTGCGTTCACGGAGCTGGAAGCGGTAGAAGTTGGTCAGTTCCGACTTCTTCTTGTCCTGCTTGGCCACCATCTTCTGGCGCGCCTCCTCAGCCTCGGCCTTGCCCGCCGGCCCGTTCCTTCCTCCACGAGTCACGGTGACGAATCCATCCTCGTCAGGCTCGTTGCGCAGTCGTTTAGCCATCTCGGCCGCTTCCTTCTCCCTCCTGTTGAAGACGGTGAAGAAGGCATCCACGGCGCTCTGGACGTCGACCTTGTCCGGGTACGCCATCTGGTTGTGGGATCTAAGCCATGCCGAACCCATGGCCGGCACCTTGTCCGACACGCCTTCTCCCCAAACAGGGTACTTCTTCGTCTTGTGGAGTTTCGTGATGGCCTTGAGGACCAGGTCTGCACTCTTCTCGTCTGCCATCAACGCCACAGCAGTGCTCCCGCTCCGCCGCAGGGGTCGAGACCATGTCTCCAACAATCTCGCTGCTTCCTCCTCCTGAGCTTCCTCCTCCTCGGCTTCGTCTCTCTTCCTTTTCTTGGAGAGAGCTGATAACCTCGCAGCTTGGCCGGGCTGGATGGCTGGGGTCTGAGCAGCACCTGTCTTCTCATCCTCAAAAGCAATGCTCTCAAACCTGCCGGCGCCAACGAGCGACACAAATAGAGCACGCAGATGAGCTTCCGTGCTGTCTATTGGTACATTGGTGACAAAGAGACTCCGCTCGTCATCTGGCGTTGGGTTCTTGGGCGCATTCTTGCGCACGTAGATGTGATGAATAACGGCTTTGGGATAAGATGGGAGCGCAGGAATGGAGAGCGGCAGGACAACAAAGTCGCCTATAGACTTTGGTATCGGTGCCATGGCGGAGTATGCTTACAGCTCAAATGAGCTGCAGGGATTTGAGCAGCAAGATCGCTGAATGGAGTCTCTGTTGGATTGAGAGGTCGTCACACGACTGGCAATGAACTTGATCTCAAAATCTAGCATTGAACTTTTTTTTGGTGATCTGAAAAGGCTCCACAAATAGCCGTGTTGGTCAAGTTGCCATTGGCTCAATCATGGAGATACCTACCCGCTTCTGACAGAGTACGAAGTAAGCTTCATTATCGATAAGAACTCCACGCCGGAACCAGGTTGTATTTGTACAACCGTGTACCGCGTCTTCAATTTATTCTTCCATTGCTCAACTCCAGACTTGGCCTCTACGATCTTGGAGCAAACGGCTTGCTCCATCATCTCACACCAACTTGGCCATCGTCGCGGTGGCCATAATGCTTAATCATGGCTTCTAGTACAGCACAGAGCGGTATGCTTCAAGGCACAGCGGATAGAATTGCCTGTCTTGGCAAGTCAATGCGCTACCGGCCCCCGCGGACTCGCTGCTGGTGCACCTCCACCTTGGTGGTCCATTATGTAAATTTCCTCGTTGATGTCAACGGCGGGTTTAGCTCAACCTCTGGCCATACTCGTCAAGATGGGATGTGACATATCTTTTCGACCATCTTGACATGAGAGCATATCTTCATGTCGAACATGCACCATTCATTGTTCCTCGTTCTATTACCCTGTAGAAACACCAACAACAATCCAACCATACTCGGCGAGGCTAAGGCTGTCGGTTGAACCTCGGACACGTCCACGAGCCATGAAATCAGCCCTCGGACAGGCATGGCGTTTCCTGTCGGGAGCCAGAGATGACTCCCCGAACTCGAAACCGCCGCTCTTTCTCGCCTTCCGATCCTCCAGCAACTTCATCCTGGCCACTGTCTGTCTGGCCATCTTCACGGACATCTTCCTGTACGGCCTCATCGTCCCCGTCCTACCCTACTCCCTCAGCGTTCAGGCTGGCGTCGCGGAGAAGGATGTGCAGACGTGGAACGCTATACTTCTTGGTATATATAACGGTGCCCTCTGCCTAGGGAGTCCCATTGCCGGTTTCTACGCCGATCACACGAGCTCCAGGAGATGGCCACTTCTTCTTGGCTTGCTTGCCCTGGCGGGTTCGACACTTTTGTTATGTCTGGGCAAGACGGTCGCCCTGTTAGTCATAGGGAGGTTGCTCCAGGGCCTCAGTGCCGCTATTGTCTGGAGTGTTGGGCTGGCACTGCTTGCCGACACCATGGGCGATAAGATTGGCGTGAGTGTGGGTTATGTGAGCATCTCGTTGTCTCTGGGACTATTCGTGTCTCCATTGTTGGGTGGTGCAATCTACGGCGGCGCTGGCTACTATGCTGTGTACTACATAGCATTTGCCTTCATCTTCCTCGACATCGTGCTTCGGCTCCTGATGATCGAGAAGAAGATCGCCCGGCAATGGATCCAGGAGGACAAGAATACAAATCCTGCATCTTCGCCGAAACCAGGAGATGCAGACTGCGAAGCAGGGATGTCGCACTCGGAGAAAGGCACTTTGGAAATCCCACAAGACCAGAATAGCACTTTAAAACCTGCACTTACAAACGAATTCGGACAAGAGCGGCCAAGCAGTCCGACAACCAGCCCTCTTCCACCTATCGGAGAATCATCTCCCGGCCCTGGGCAACCAGAAGGTGTCAAGAAAGTGCACCCTCACCTCACGCTCCTCAAATCCATGCGGATGCTAGCTGCACTTTGTGGCTGCGTCATCATCGCTGGCATCATGTAAGTCGCCGTCCCACGCAATGTGACGCAAACGAACGCAACCGCTGACCAATCCTTTCTGCACCGTGACCAGGTTCGCCTTCGACACAGTCATCCCGCTCTTTGTCAAGGAGACCTTCCACTGGTCCTCCACCGCCGCAGGCCTCATCTTCTTCTGCATCTTCATACCCGGTTTCGCGTCCCCGCTCGTGGGCATGCTGTCCGACCGCGTCGGCGCCCGCCCCCCAGCCCTGGCGGGCTTCCTGCTGACCCTCCCCCTGCTCGTCTGCCTGCGCTTCGTGACGGACGACTCGACGGGCCACAAGGTCCTCCTGTGCGCGCTGCTGGTCCTGCTCGGCGCCAGCACCACCTTCTGCAACGTGCCCCTCATGGCCGAGATCACCTACTCGATCGAGGCCAAGGCGGCGCGCAACCCGGGGATCTGGGGCGACAAGGGCGTCTACGGCATCGGCTACGGCCTGTACACGACGTCGTTCGCGCTGGGCGGCACGATCGGCAGCTTCATGGCCGGCTACGTCAACGCGGGCAGGGGGTGGTCCACCATGACGTGGAGCCTGGCGGTGTGGTGCGCGGGCGGCGTGGTCGTGTCGTTCTGGGTGGGCGGCGCCGGCCGGGCTAGTAAGCCTCGCGCCAGCAGGAGCAGCAGGAGCGACGACGCCGGCGGGAATAAAGACCGGGGTGTCGTCGCTGGCGATGGCGCTGGCGACGATCGTCATCACCGCTGCGGCGGCGGCGGGGGCGTTGGGAATGGTGGCAAGGGCAGGGGCGCCGCTCGTGTCGAGTCCGGCGGGCAGGGCGGCGAATAGGAATGCGTCGCGCTGTGCTGCGCTGTGGTCATGATGCTGCAAAAGTGCACATTCATGCTGATTACGAGCGACGGGCCTTTGAAAATCAGGACCAAAAATGGCAATATTCAATCTTGTCGAATCATCCCCGGTGTTTGCCTGCGTGTGAGAAAAAAAGGACGTGATGGCATTTAAATTTGCGCTTGCTCCTTCGCATGATGATGTGATTAAATTGGCACACCAGACCGTTTTCCCCCTTTCCCGCCCTTCCCTTCCTCGCTTTTCTCATCGGACCACACGCACATACACTCCTTTCTCGCTGTGCGTCTCGCTCATACACAGAAAGTTGCCCTCCGGATCTGGAAACTTGCCCTGGATCTCGTCCTTTGCTCCCTAGATCTCAATCTCAATCCTCCCCACGCCGCGACTAACACAAGACAGCATCGCCTCGCCCTTGTCCTCCTCGGCCAGCGCCGTGCCGCGGTGCTCCACCGTCCCGCGCCGGACCGCGACCCTGCACGTCCCGCAGTTGCCCACCTCGCACGACGACGCGACGACGTCGTCGTCCCCAAACGCCCGCCGCAGGCCCTCGAGCAGCGTCTCCTCCGCGCCGACCCTCAGCACCCGGCCGCCGCGGTTCGCAACCACGGCCTCGAACGGGTCGCCCGACGCGGCGTCCGCCTCGAAGGCCTCGAAGTGCACCTCGTCGGCGCCCAGGCCGGCCTCCCGCGTCGCGGCCAGCGCCTCGTCCATCATGCGCCGCGGGCCGCAGAAGCTGACGTGCGCGTTCCACGGCAGCGACCTGACGACGGCGCCGACGTCGAGCCGCTGGCCCCGCGACCCGTCGTAGATGACCACCTTGCCGCCGGCGTAGCCCTCGGCCAGTGCGTCGAGCCGCGCGCGGAAGGGCACGTCGCCGGCCGAGCGCACCGCGTAGTGCAGCGCGAAGGCGTGGTTGCACCGCCGCAGCCGCCTCAGCACCGCCAGGAAGGCCGTGATGCCGACCCCGCCGGCCACGAAGACGTGCGCGCTCGCGTGCGCCGCCGCGGGCACCGCGCTCGTGAAGCGCCCGACCTGGATGACGGTGCCCTCGCGCACGTCCGGCCCGTGCAGGTACCTGGACCCGCCCCTGCTCCTCTTCTTCCCGCTGTCGCGGTCGTCGTCGGCGAGCGCGACGCCCAGCTGGAACCGGTTCCGGTCCCCGTCCACAACTGAGTAGGCCCGCACTAGGCGGTTGGCCAGCCGGATCTTGACGTGCGCCCCGGGCTCCAGCGCCTCGGCCTCCGGGTCCGGCTCCACGGCCTCGAGCGTGAAGGAGGTGATCCGCGGCGTCTGGCGCTCCTTCTCGACGACCCGGAAGTCGAGCCACTTCTCCTCCCTGTCCCGGGCGGCCCTCCGCTCCTTGGCCCTCTGCCGGGCTATCCTGCCCGCGAACTGCTTCTTGCACTCCGCCCCGAACTCCTCGATGGCCGCCAGCTCCTCGATCATGTCCAGCCGGTCCGGGCTCCGGTGGAGGTACTCCTGGATCCGCTCGATCGTCCACTCCGGGTGCGCCCGCCGCCGCAGCCTGACCTCGTCCCCGGCCCTGATGCTCCCGCCCTCGAGGACGCGGTAGTACCACCCCGTGCGGCTCGTCTTCCAAGTGTTGGGCGCAAAGTTCCGGAGCTCGAACCGGTGGTTGAGCTTGAAGCACGGCTGCCGCGGCAGGCTGACCTGCAGGACCACCTCGGGGCCGACCGAGACGACGTCCCCGATGCACACGTTCCTCTCGTTCATCCGCGGGAGGACAAGGTTCTCCCCGAAGCCGCCCGGCACGAAGCGCTCTGCCGCGGACGGGTACTCTTTGCTCCAGGATTTGTAGTGCTCCGCGCAGTCTGCGGAGTTGTGTGTTTTATGAATTAGCCCGGCTGTTTCTTTTCTCCCCCTGGAGCATGAACGTGTAGAAAAGGTGCCATTCTCTCTTTCAAATTACTTACAGCCGTGGAGAGCCTTGTCAACGCCGCCATGGAACGTGGGATCGTGCTCGTCGCCAACGATCCCCAACGTGTTGACCTGGACGGGCCCGTCACAGATGGTCTTATCAATGCCGGATTCCACATTGACCCCCTTGAACTTTGTCATCTTCCCCGTGCGGACCTCGAGGACCGTGTCCACGGTGACGGGGGCGAAAAGGTCGACTTCTGGATCCAGAGCCATGGTGCGGAATTATGATGCTGCAGGCGCTGAGTGAAAATACGAAACCTCCGGGAGGAGGAGGTGATCTCTGAATAATCCAGGGCCACGTTTGGAATCCCCCATCGAAATCAAAGATCCCCGATTTTGGCGATTTTGGGCCGTGTAAGACGCGGGACGCGGCCTACAATAGAACGGGGCAGATCAATGCCGCTAACATTACAAACGGCGTCCAGCTTGAATGGGGTGGTCTTATTGACCTATCTCTGGTGCAGCATAACCAACCCGTCCGGACGAGGGCAAGGGACAGTGAGAAAGAGTGCGTCACTCGGCCCAAAGTCGCCCTTGGCTCTTTTAGGAAAGTTTTCTCTAGGAGTGCGCCCTGCACAGTACATGTACCTAGACTACTCATGCAGGAGATAAGACTTTGTTGACTCATCCTTCATACCTTGGGCGGGGGCGGGGCCGTTGCCCGTGTGTCTCCGCGGAGGCACGACGGGTCGGGGAACAAAGTCCAGTCGAGGACACGGAGCTCCGGCTTGGCGGCATCCTCGCCGGTGACAAACAGGGCAGCGCCGGCGGGATCGGTGTGCAGGAAAGCGTGTAGCTCCAGGTAGGGCTGACATACCAATGCATTGCGTATGCCGGTCAACAGATACCAACCAGATGCTTGAATGCTTCCTGCCTGCATGTTTGCCTGTCCCCTGGAAGCATGGAACGGCACCTTCCGATATACCTGCACCTTCGCTATGCGCATCGTAGCAACCGTATGATCGAGTGCCAAGTAGAGGTGTCACATGCAACAACTGCCCAAGGTGGTCTTTTTAACCTCAGACGGAAGGGGGAGAGCCGGAAGAATGGCACAGAGATCCTGGGCGCAAGGCTTTTTTTTTCCCCTTCGTGTGCAGTATGCGGTATTTTAAAGCTGCACAATCAAGATGGCCGGTGTTCTCAGAAAGTAGGCAAACATGCAAGACCGATCTTAGCCGCGAGATCGAGCTACTGTACCCCGACATCATCAGATGAGGCTGTATGGCCATTCGTCTGGCACGCACCACTCCCTGCATCCAACCCAAGAATGACGTGCAGCTAAAAGATCTTGGTTGCGAGCGTCATGCATGACAAGGCCTCATGTCTGACTGACCTCCATCGTGTAGTAGCCTGTCACAGATGGCGATTTGTCCCTTAGGGGGTGGCTATGCTTGACAGGAGTTGTAAGCAGCCATGGGCTGGAAAAAAAAACATGTGTTGCTGAAGAAAGTCACATGAGGGAGCCCGATAGTCTTACTATGCCACGACATATCTCTACGATAAAGTCTGTTGGAGGGCCGGCTTTCGGGCAGAAACAGCACTCCAACCCTCTTCTCCCGGGGACAGCTGGTCTGACCATAGACTGGCGAGTGCTGGCATACAGTGGAAACACCGAGGCGCGAGAAGAGGTGTGGCTTCTGTGGTACGAAATAACAGCATCCCTGTCGACCATGTTTTGTCTCTCACGGCGGAGTAACAGCAGAGGACTTTAGTGGTTCGTGGCAGTCATACGCCATGTGTCACGCGGACACGGCTGACGTTGCTGACCATGTTTGACCACCCTGGTGCTGGTCTTCGCGGCCCTTCTGAATCTTTGGAGTCTCGTGTAAAAGGATGAGCCCCAGTAACGCATGGTGATCGTAGATATAGAGGAGAGTAGCGGTGTACATTCTATGTGACTGTCATCATGTATTTCAGGGGCGGGAGGGAGCTGAAACGTAGCGATTGGGGAACGGAAGATGTCACATAGCAGTGAAGCATCCTGAGTGGACCAGAGGACTCGATATCGTTCTTGCTTTTTCAGCTCTGTTATATCATTGACCGTAGCAATCACTCGGAGCCAAATTCCTCGGCCAATTAGCTTCTTGTCATAAATGACCATAGCCAGAATGGTCAGATAGACTGTCCATCATGGCGAGGCCGCCACAGGGTGGACGACAGGAGCTGTTCGAGACACGTAGCTATGATGATAGGACTTTCTGTCCAGGCCAGTATCCTGACAATTTGCCCATCGACTCCAGAGGGCGGTGAGGCTGCCATGCCATGCCATGCACAATAGGAGGAAGGGATCAAGAAGAGGCGGTCAAGTCCAGTTAGTTGTCCCGGCTCGACTGTTGCACCTCCCAGGTGTTGGGCTCCGCACTGGGTCACACCTGTTCCGACTTGGTCCCTGTCGGAGGCCCACGGCCAGTTTTCCCCGTGAATCCATGGCCGTCATGGAAAGCGTCGAAGATGGTTGGCAACGTTGATTAGCCAGATGACGCGGCCTTGACGAGAATCTCGAGATTGGGATGGACAACTTTAGGGCTCATGAGGCCACACAGCGGCTTAGAATCCTCGGTCGGACAACACGGAGGAGGAAAAGGCGTGAGACAAACACGGCCTGGAAAGAAAATGTGGTCGAAGCCATCGATTGTTGTGCAATGGCTTGTCCAATACTTCCCGTTGTTTTCGTACAGACACACATCTTGCACTAGGCAAGCGTCAGCTTCTGATCCAGGTATGAGGCGGAATAACGTACCACTCGACAACCTTATGGAATGACATGGAAGCTGAGATTTCACGTTGAGCAAGCGGATGGTCAGACAAAGACAATTTCTGTGAGAAAAGCAGAACGTAGGAATGTAGGGAGGTTGAGGAATATATTCGGTACGATTCAAGGTTCCTAAGTCAGGCAGGTTTCCGCGGGATTAGATACAAGGTGCATCCAGAAAAGAAAAGAAATCCGAGGGCCTGATGCCTCCGGGAAACACCCCGACCTAGGAGGTGATGCGAGGATCCTGAATCAAAGGTCTTCAGAATGAAATTGGTATGTTCCACGACAGATTGCTTTGGAATTGTTTTGGAAGGGTGCTGGGTGTCGAATGTCTTGCAAGGGGGAGGGCAGGAGAGCGATTGGGAGGGGAAGCTAGGAGACGACAGAGCCTCATTTCAGGGAGGGGTCACTACCTACCAACGCACCATAAGGTACCTAAGGTCACATCCACACGACCCTTGTCCGTCTCAAACTTCCCCCCTCACACCCAGCAGCCTTCCGTTCTCAGACTTGGGTGCCCTTCCAAGGTTGTGTGTCCCCCCAAATCTGACCTCTCTAAGGCCTACCTATCAAATTAGATGTTTTTCCTATGACTTGAGCCGCATCAATACCTCAAGCGAACCACCACTTTCGTGGAGCACTCCCCGGCTCCCCGGCTCCCCACTCTCTCGCTTTCACCTTTGCTCCTGTTCACTGTTCACCTTTCATCCTTTCTTGTACGGTGACATGGCTGGAGAAGCTATCCCTTTCACACGAGTTCGACAAGCCATCCGTGTAGCGTACATGGCTCTTCTGAACAGGGTAGCGACCATGCTCACCGGTCGTCGCTTGAGATGTCTCGCCTGCAGGGCGGCTACCATGGGGTGGGCGTGAACATTGGGAACGAGTGAACAACCGATCAGGCTCTCTACCTAGAATCGTATCCGAGTTCAGCCTGTCCGCTATATAAGGCCCGCTCCCGTTCCCGCATGGCTCTCCGACTGTCCCTCTGGATCGTCGTTCCCGCATTACTCAGCTCCGTTCCCATGATTTCGTCAACCATTGTCTTTCCCCAGGCTCCAAGGTCACTGCATGGCGTAGCAAGACTTCCCGACAACTTGAGTCGAGATGAGTCCTGCTTTTCCACAGTCCCTACCCGCGGAAATAGTCGTCACTATCGCCAAGTGCCTAGATGTCGACGATCTTTTCAACCTGGCCCTGACATCTCGCCACCTTGGCTTTCTGATTCAAGATGACCAGGTTTGTCGAGCAGTGCTAGAGGTAGGCCGTCTCAGAGGGTCCCCTTTTGCATATGTCAAGTGCTCACGCCTCTCAACAGTCAACTGCCAACTCCATCTTTGAAGACATAACGCCTGGCAAATCGCCCTTATCAAAGCCGTACGCACGAGCACTCCGGCGACTGGCCAAGATGCGAAGAGCCATCGCGTTGGTCTCTCCATTCTCGGTCACCTTTGTGGCAGTGGCCGATCTTGCCCTCTACATCAATGGGATGCTCCTATATCTTGACGGGCTCTCGTTGAGAATGCTGGACCTGCACAACTCTGCAGATGAGGAGGCTGTTGTCGATATTCACTCCATTTTAAATATTGCCATTGATGGCACACAGCTCGTCTGCGATACTTTTCAGCCTCTTCACTACGCAGATGGCATCGTCTCCTGTCTGTGCCGCTTCCGCACACCGCTGCCGGAAGATTGGCTTTTGCTATTCAACCCTACGACTAAATGGTATAAAGGCATCCACCTGAATTCCGCTTTCAAACTTTTTGTGCGAAATAACAAGAACCACGTTCTATTTGGGACGCACACTGGCGCCAGCGAGGACAATTATAGAAGATGGGTTATTCAAGCATATGATATCTGCAACGACAAGCTCTTTGACCCAAGCATGGTTCTGGAGAATCTCCCCGGCTCAGATATCGGCAGCACGGTTTGCTTTGAAGTGTTCGGCGACTATTTTTACGCCCTTTCCAACGAGACGACTTTCGGCCTCGACGGGTTCGACTGGACCTCCTACTATCATTGCTTTCGATTCCCGGTTTGCCACCCGTCACCGGACAAGATCGAGGTGCTCGCAGAAGATATGCTATGGCGCAGAAAACACGCAGAAGGCCCTCTGGATGACCGCTGGACATTCTTAAAACTGGAACCTCACGAGAACACCAAGAAGTTGCAAATCGTGGAATCCAGAAAGGAGTGGCTTGGAGGCCGTAGCTCGGCTCGACGAACTTACTACACTCTCGAGACCAGCTTCTCGGAGACGGACCGGTACGTCGATGAGAAAGCTGCTGCTGCTCCGGCAGCCCAACAGAGCGGCGCAGACCAGTTCAGAGTCCTCCACGGCACAAGCGATGCCGAAAGCGCAAAGACCGCTTTCCAGAAAGAGGGCACGTCTGTCTCACCCCAGCGTTCCCCACATCACGTTCACCCGGGCGACGACGGAGCCTTGATCATCATGTCTACTCTGAGCAAGACATTCATACGTTCATATCACACCACGTGTTCTACCTTTATGGATCTCATCGACGAACCAAGCGACGAAGCGCCATTCACTCCAAGAATACGGCTACGGGCCGGGTCACGCAAGCTTCGTCCGTATACGGAGCGCAAAGCGAGTGAGAATGAGGGAAAGGGCAAGCAGGTTGAAGCCGATCTACAGGTTGCCGACAGCCTCATTTACCCCGGAAAAGAAATTAAACGCCTTTATCGTGAGAGCGAAGTGCGCATCTGGCCTCCGGAGAAACTGGCTGGTGTTGGAGGGCCCGACGTGGACAAACTGCATCAGGTTCTGGTCCCGCCTGGCTTCCAAGGCCAGGTCACAAATGGCATGTGGGACAAGCGGTCGCTCGTTTACTCCATCAGCGGTGCAGACCCGAGTCTCAAGGCCATTATCTTTATCAACTTTGACCCAGCCATCCGCCTGCAAGGCGTACAGCCGTGGTGCGACCGCGACAACTCGCCTCACGGCTCCATTACAGAGATCCCGCCCCCGGGCGACCCTTTGATGAAGACGAGCTCCTATCCCGGGGGCAAGGGCAAGGGAAAGCTGTCGATATCCGTCTCTCGGCCTGCCACAGCAGCAACAACAACGGGCGCCCAAAACCTGGAGTGGGTCAAGTTCGAAAAGGCACGATATCGGGATATCCAGTCTGGGTATGACTTCAGCTACTTGCCAGTTGCATCGTGACACACCAGTTCCGGAAAGCCTGGTGTCTTCCGTTGGACGAGCTGTGTCGTAATAGCCCTGGCACCAGTCGATTCACACGCGGGGCTACTTGCATCGGGGATGGATGGGGGACAAAGTCAGTGCAGTCTGGGATTGGGAGGGTCATGACGCCCGGCCAGGGTGCTGGGAGCTGGCTTAAATATCCTCTTGCATGGTTGGGACGCAATGAAACTGCATGGGTCGCGCCCCCTGCAGCCAAGATGAAGGAACGGCAGGAAGAACAGGGACAGTGGGATGTGCGGATGTATGCAGGAGGCCAAGATCGCTGATCGTCAGCTTCTCTCTGCAGATTTTGGAAGAGCATCATGATTATTATTTTTGGCGAGGCAATGTCCGTCCAGCTACGTGTCGTGTGAGACCCGGTTCAGGACTCCCTTTCCAACCCCCCCCCCCCTTTTTTTTTTATTCGCTGACGATTACGCCATCGATGTTCGCGAGGCAGACTTGTGATTCGGTTGGGCCGGGGTTTGCAGCAAACTGCAAGGGCGGGAACGCATTCCCCTTGGGATCTAGTTGCCTTGTCTGCCTCTCGGACGGAACTGCATTACCGGAACGATGCAGTGTAGTTGCGCACAGGAGGATGAGGCTCGCATAGCTCCCACGGCATGTATGGATGCATGCAGGCATGCGGGCACCACCCCACTCGAGTCTGCTTTTTTTACGCCCGGTTTGTGAACGCTTGAATTGGTCTCATTGGACGCCTTGCTTCCCGAGCTTTGTCATACATTTTCAGAACTTTATGGCCCCCAATAACGACATCGGATGGGGTAGGTCGCCCACGACTGCCTTCCCCCCCCTTGGATGGCTTGATGCATGTTGCATCAGGAGTTTGAGCACACTGCCGCCAGATAAGAAACGCCTTGTTTCAACAATTCCAGTGTGATACGTTCATCAGCGGAATGTAACAGAACAGCATTAGCTGTCGGCTCATATGGGGACTCTGTTCTAGAATCTGTCGAGAGATTGGGCCTCTTGCTCTCCCCTCCACATTTACCCCCAACCTCTCGATACGACTTGACCAAGCACATGATGTTGCGTAGGTTTCTCGGGGGCTAGGGTTTGACTCGTAGGAACACGATGACCTGTCCAACCCCCTCTTTCACGGACATTGATTGCGAGCCACGAGAGGAACAGCCTCGGATCAAGGCTCACAAAAGACCCAGGTGGAGACGCACTCTGCCCAAAATGCCGCGGCCAACGGCATTCACGGGCACACTTGTCCGCCAGGTACGCAGCCGGTGAGCAGAGCACATCCCGCCCCAATCGGCCCATTGCAGCATTTTCGTTGAGCAACAACAAAAAGACGCCCCCTTTTCCATACTTTACGTGCGAGAACTGGAATGTCGACGCCCGAGGCAAGCTCCCGTGCTTGTGCAAGCCCGACGTCTTTCCCACCAAAAGTGCCAAGTGCCAAGGTGAAAGTTTCGTAAATCTTACTTGATAGAAAGGAGCACTTTCCATTGTACACAGTCGAGGAGTCCTCTGGAACCGCCCGGTTTGCTTTTTGTGCGCAGCGTTGTTGTACCCCCTTCGCGACCTCGGGACTTCCGCGATTTGCACTAGGTAGTTGATAAGGCTGAGCCCGCTCATGTGACGGGGGTTCCGCAACGGGTGACACGGAACGACCTCCGTGAGGCTCGGGGGAGGTACGGGATCCCCACATCGGTGCTTCCTCACACAGAAAACCCTTTGGGATTTGCAGTTTTTTGTTTTGCCTGGTTATTGTTTTGTTGAGGGGCACGAGCGGATGTCACATCCCGTTGCACACGCTTGCATTTGTAGATGCTCATGGGATGCGTCCTCAACCCCCCCCGTAGCGACGTGACGTGGAACAATCCCCCTCTCCCTCCCGGCCGGACTTTCTTGGCCGCTTCGTTACGAGGGGGGGACGGAGTAGTTAGCCGTCCACCGAGGAAGAACCACGTCGTTTCTGTGAAAGCATCCCGCATGCCAGCCCAGCCTAACCCCCCCCTTTTTCACAGTAGAGATTTTTGCTGCTGCCGCCGTTGCCCTCCTCGTCCTCCTCCTGCTCCTCCCTTCCCATCCCCACCGCCCCTAGCAAGACCACTACCACCACCACCGCTCCCCTGCGCAATCTCCTCAAACACCCCGACGCCCTTGGCCCCGAGCCCCGTGGCCACGGCGACGGCGTACGCCCCCGCGGCCCTCATGCGCGCGCACCCGCCGGCGTCCAGGACGCCGCCGACGCCGACGACGCGCACGTGGCCCAGCTCGCGGGGGTGCTCGTCGAGCATGCGCCGCAGCGTGGCCACGTTGCCCAGCGCGAGCGGGTGCAGCGGCGCGC